GAGCAGACGGGTCACCTGATGTAAGCAACTGCCGCCGCCCATGGACACCTGCAACTCAAAAGTCAGTAGTGCGTTGCTGCCCTTGGAGTTCCCGCTCGAGTCAGCGGGAGGGGGGATTTGGGCTCCGGTAACCTCACTCACTCAGTGAAAGGCAACGAAAGAATTACTTAACACCGGTTTTCTGTGAGGCCGTGGTATCACTCCGGCCGAGCCGGCCCATTCGTGCCGAAGGTTGGCTCTCCCACTGCTGGCCCTTCTTAGAAAAGAGGTCTTGGCCTACTATACCACACTGGCTAGATGGGTTGGTATAGGATTTGTTCAGGTTTTCCTTCTCTTTGCAGTGCTGTTGACCTTCGTAGTTTGCTCCCTTAGCCTGCTCTTACGACACCCAGGGTATAAATAGGGATGGTGATACTTCGTATTTTTAATCCGTCAGCACATGAACATGCTGATCGACCTTCATCTACTTTAGTCATGAATATAAAAGTAAAACAAAAACAATGGAATAAAAAGTAATTGCCGCTCTTTTTAACAAATATAATCAAATTGTATGAGTAAGCAATCAAACTGTACGAGTAAACAAGAAGTCAAAGTCATGCAAGATTTAAAAACTAAACAAATGTTTGTGTTTCTAAAAATATCCTTTGAACTTATCGTTACCGTGGCCGTATGGTTTAAATGTCAAGCAGATGAGGTTTACGCACATTGTTACTGTTCAAGCTTGTAAAACATTCTTGCCCCGTTTTCGGTTCAATTGTAATCCTAATGATTAAACTACATTGTTTTATTTATGAAACGAGGCCAAACAGAATCACGTTCATTACAATAAAATTTGATGTTTTGGGTATAACAAATCAAAATTTACGTTACACAAAGTACATGGCTGCATATAAACTATTGCTTGCTTAGTGATAGAACTGAATTATATAGGACTAACTAGTTGACCCGGCAAACGTTGTTTTGCTATATACAATATGTCTAGGAAATATTGTAAAAAAATTTTTAGGGGTGGCACACCCTTGTCTTTTAGGGGTATGAAAAATAGATGTTGGCCGATTCTCAGACCTACCCGATGTGCACACAAAATTTCATAAAAATCGGTCCAGCCGTTTCGGAGGAGTATGGTAACTAACATTGTGACACGAGAATTTTATGTATAAGATAATAGTCTTAAATATACGTATATGTTTTTTATATCCATCCATATTTTCTAATAAGATACTTACCCTAATTCATAAAATTAAAATGCTAACCTACTTATGTACAGTCATCCATATATAATATGTACACAGATAACTAAAATGTATTAATAATATAAAAATAACCTAGGCTTTTAAAATAACCAGAACATCCAAATATCAACAGCATTCCAGTTATTGTTTCTATTATCAAATCTGAGCATTCATATCAAATCCTTATAATAATTTATATATGTTGTGTTGCTAGGCGGTATTAGGCTACTCGAGAAAAAAAACCTTTTGTAACTTGGTTTTGGTCCTTCGTAAATACTTAGTGAAATAATTACCATAATAGGTATTGCCAAGTACGTGCTCTAATCCTTTATTTTTATTCTATTCCATTACGAATACATATTCTAAAACCGTTTGAGTATTTTAAAATCTTTGTTTGGGACTGTTCGCCTAAAGTAAACCGGCCCGAAACGACGAACGACCTGTACTCTCATACATGTTGAAGTAACATTAATTTTGAAGTGGAAACGTAAAATAAAATGGGATAAAATCTAGCAGCGCTGTTGGTAGAACTGGAGACCCGGACACCCGGAGACAGGGCTGGAGCTTCATAGCCATTTTATATTTAAACTAGGTTTGAAACAAATATATTCTGAGCTTGCTTTTGTATTTCAAGTAGATTTATAGACTTAAGACACACTTCCTTCATAAAGAAAAATGCAAATCAATAAGACATGCATACATTATAATGATATGGACAATATTAATAGCAGCTTACGCTCATTACGTGTTTCGATAAATCTATTATAATTTGTATAAAAATGTAATCAGGATGTTTTGTGTGTGTACAAAAGGTTTACCGACAATCTTAATTTTGCCAAATATAATTAAAAATTAAGTATCACAGTTTAATATGAACAACACTGCAGCTCCAAAACGTTATCTCAAACTACCATTACGGTTAAATTTAACTACTGTAAAACTAACATAATAATGTTTTAGTGGAAATATGTAGATACCTCATCGCAGACATTAAATTCACCACATCCACCAATATTATTGCAACTATGTCCCGTTTTATTATATTTTTAGTCTTGGTTTTAAGACATGTTATCAATGACTGAAAGAAATAATCTGATCTCCATTCGATTGATTGATGTCTGGGTTTTACATTCTAGTATAGTTTCCTCTACTATTTCATGAAAAAGTATGCGAAGAATAAAATATCATACCGACTTCAGTGTAAGAACATAAAAAACAATTTTATTGTACAAGGAATGATGTACTTCGATTGGTTAAGATGTATAATTGTCAACGTAAATATTTGATTAATAATTTTCTTCAATCAAATATATATGTTTAATCGGTGTTCAAAATATGACAAACTAAACTGTGATTAAACGCGGTTGTGACATGTGAGCACAGTTAAGCCCAACTGTTAAACGTTTCGTACTCGCTCTAGCGATGGCACGTATCACCGTATATACTCTAGAGATGTGGAAGAAAAATACTTAAACTATTTTTAAAAATGTTTCAAACTATTACAACATGTGTTTACAGGAAAATTCATTTCTATTGTCTGGTTTAAAATTAGCGTAATTACGTGTATGCCTGTTAATTATGACGATTTTTGTTAGAGAAAGTGTATCTATTGTATAGTTGATCCGAAGATTATGTTGTTTTATTTTACCTTTATAATAAGGTCATCAGTATTATACTTCAGCATATAAAACTAAAAATGTTTAACTTTATACAAGACCCACCCGATTGTCTACTGTTTCTTGTATAAATACGATGTGTTGAATGTTTTGACATTGTCATTAAAATCGCTCCTCCGTCTGTCAACTTGCTTTAAAAGCACTTATGTGGCTTAGTCACGTTTGATGTCAAGTTTATTTGCTGTCTTACGAGTTACGACATTTTATCAGGAGGATGCTAATGTACGTGTACGGTCGTAGTAAGCATTAGAGATGCTACCACCAATGATAGTACATAACAATATTATCGACAATGTTACACACTATAAAATACTATATTATCGATACTAGCAAATATAATTTATACTAAATCCGAAGCCAGTAATAATCAGCATTTTAACAGCAATTTGACCATAACGTTAATTTGCATTATTATGTTTTTTTAGTTTTTTACTGATTTTGTTGTGAAAGTTAGGGAGTAATGAATTTGATTGGGTATTTCGGATATTTATTAAATTCTTATATACTTCTTCGCATTGTTTCTAATTACCTCTGATTATATACTACTTGACGTTACAAACTAAAAGCTGCTTTAATATACTACATTTACTACATACTATATTTAATACAAAAAACATGTTATTAATCCGACTGATAGTTCTCACTGTGAGAATGAGAAGTGAAGCTTGCAAAACAGGTGGACATCGAAAAGTTAATGACGAGTATGAAAATTTCAAGAGTAATTAAATTACATATTGATTTCTCTACTGATATTTCATCGATAGTTGGCAACTCTAGTACGCATAACTGCTTTTAAATTTATGGCTACTTACTTCATGTAGTAAATGTTTACTTTTACCGATAGAGGAGTTATTTTATTAGTTTCTCATAATATAAAACGTTCTCGAATTAAACGTAATGGTTCCTTTATCTCACTGACGATTACGCGTGAAGTTAATTATGGTACTAGGAGTTTTAAATAAATTAATGGCTGATTTGTCGTAAGATTTGGATTGACTTGAGTGACCTTCGACGTATACTTTTTTTTTCTTGTTTTGTTAAATTGGCTTGTGTGCCGCTGGTACGGGAAAAAGTAATGGTTAAACAAGTTAACTAGGCACTAGATTATTAGACATAAGGTGTAAATGTAATTTGGTATGATATTACTTATGATATTACTACATAAACTTAAATTTTGTACAATCATTTTATAAAAAAGTTCGTAAATTTTGGTCCAAGAATACCACATGCCTATTTCAGCCGTGGGGTCAACGAAAACCTATTACATCAATAGATTGATGGGCATATTCATAGCAGTACCTGCAATTTAATTTCTTTAGTAAACCACATAGTTACAGAAAATTATAGCCAAGTTAATGATTTAATTATAAAACCTCCTTTCTAAGGAGAGGCCTATGTTCAGCAGTGGACTATAAAAGGCTGTTGATGTGTGATGTGAATGAAATAATTTATTTTACCGTTCTTTATTTATTATGTGACCTAGATCTATTCGCTCTCTATGACCCATACCCACATCATATTAACAAAACTGTTATTGAGCGAACTTGAACAACGTACACCGTACATTGGATTCTCTGAATATCAAAGTCAGAGACAATAAAATTAAAAGTTATACTAATAATTCAACAGTTCATCAAGTAGATAGACAGACAAGTCCGCGGCATTAGGTTCTCATGATAATGTCAGGCGTAGATTATTTGACATTATTATTATTATTATCAGCCATATTTCACATAATCCTCATTTCACATGGTTTATAGATTTCTGCTGCCAATCTTCTCAATACGCATCCAGTTCATGACATGTAATCGATAGAAATCTAAGAGGTTTTCAAATTTATATTTGATGCCTTAGTGCTTCAAAAACTTCTTAAAGTATTTAGAATTCATCTACACATGTTGTACTTACACGTCGTACACGGCCTTTAACACGTTTTTAATGGTTTCCTCATTGTTTCAGAAACAAAAAAGTGTTTGCGCAAAAGAAATATCTAAACTAACTCAAACTTGTTTCGTTGTATCACCAGCTGTCGTGACCTGTTACTGTTTTGTGTTTGTGCCATTTTCTTATCTCTCACATATGTTGTCTACAGATATGGACGGAGGGTCTATTTGCATTGGCGTATAATTTGAATCAGCTGAACAACCCCACAATCAAGTTCCTAGAGAAGTTGCACACGAAGATCATCCTCAAGGCTGACAAGTCCGGAAAGATAATGGTTAAAAAGTACGTACATACAATTTATTTGTTTATTATCTTGCTATGCTCTTGCTTTCTGCCAACAAGGCTACGTGAACATTGAAACACAAATATTGCTTAGTTTCAAGAGGTACGACTAACATAAGATTGCGATCTAATAAATTTCGTTTTTTTTTTAATAAATCATATTGATATAGTGAACAGAAAATCCTAGCTGTATCAGTACAACAACATCCCTTTTTCCCTTTTTACATTAGTGGTAATGAGCAAGTCATACCTCTGAAGCCCTGTTGCATAAAAAGGGACCTTTATTAAAAAATATTTAGATATCAGACGTTCATTTTAGAATAAGACGTTCTCGAATTTACTGTTTAAGAAAGTAAGAAATCCTTTCTTCAATTTGAAATATTCAGAAATTAGCATTGGGACTTTATATTTCTTAGAAGTAGTAATTTTCTCCTAGTAAAAATATGTCCTTACCTTTTCTGTGCTCTTTACAGCTTTTGCCCAAAATAGGTTGGTGTCGGATTTAAGACTACTACGATACGGCTGAATTTTGATCTTTTACGCGTAGCGACTGTCATCAGACCTCCACAACCCAAGTACTAGGCGATATCGAAGTTCTATAGAAATAAATAAATTTAAATAGATCACTCATTCTATTACACCCATATTATACCTAATTATTAAATAGGCGTCAGTGCCAGGATCTATTTCAGAATAGATGTTGAATCATGTATAAGTTGTTGCACTTTTACATGTTTGACTGCCATGTTGCAGTTATTTCTGATAATACACTCACATAAAGAGCTAACTAATAAAGGTCACTTAAGAAACTGGTTCATTTACGTGATAGATGGATGGTTACGGTATGGTCCATCTATCCATCACATAAATGAATCAATTTAAGTTGATGGTAAATATTTTTACGAAACCTGTACACATCAGTCCGTGTTGTGACGGATTAAGAATACAAATTGTCACCACCCCAATTCATCCCGTGGGTGTCGTAAGAGCCGACTAAGGGAGCAAACTAAGCAGGACAACAGCACTGCAAAGAGAAGGAAAACTTGAAACAAACCCTATACCAACCCGTCTGGCCAGCGTGGTATAGTAGGCCAAAACCACCTTTCTAAGGAGAGGCCTATGTCCAGCAGTGGTCTAGTATAGGCTGTTGATGATGATGACACATCAATATAACGTTTCTCACTAATGTACTTAAAGATTTATGAAATCGCCCAACACTCCCATAATGAGATGGTCTATCATAATAAATACTTTATGAATATTTAATTGTTCCTTTTATGGGGAAATGATAGAAATAGAACAATCAAAGAGGCATTATCATAATCACCGATATTCAAATAGTGGACTCATTAGTACATAAAATAGTTGTCGTTGGAAGGTCACTACGTGACTCAAGATTTACATTCCATTTTTTTAAATTACGAGTTTCATGTTCATGTATATTTTTTCTTAAAACAGATATTAGAATGGTTTTGTTGTTGTTTTACTATTGTATCTGTTTTTTAATCATTCCGGCGTGTAATTGGGTGTAACGGGTCAATAAATGACATTAAAACTTTGAGAGGGAAGCATTAATGGATTAGAGTGGAGGGAAATTTAACCTAATTTTGGAAGCATTAAACATTTATAGACCGAGCCTTTTTTAAGAGGTTTGGTTTGTTTAAGAGATAATTTTATATTGTTCGTGTTTAAATAGTATTTCAAGTGTATTGACTATCCGATAGATTAAAGTTAAATATTTAATAAGATAATAGGTTAAAAAAACTGGTAGTAGAATATGCTGCTACGTATTTTTAGAATTTGAGATGAAATTAAGACGTAAATGAGTGGTAATAACTCTCTTGAAAACCAGAATCTGAACAAAATGGTTCTCAGTAGTTGTGTGCCATTTTCTAGCACTAACTGTATTATACAGGTTGTCTGAAAGAAATTACAGCTTGCTATAAAACACCTACCGTAACACTAATAGTAAACGTATTCTTTATGATGATTGTCTATCCATCTACATGTACCCGTTCAAAGTTTATTGTCTTATCATTATGGTTAACGCGTAAGTTTTAGGTAATATCCCTTAATGTTACCTTCATGTTTTCCTTTCATCTCTTTTCGTAACTTCCCTTTTTTACCAGCAGTCCTATATCTACACAAGCTAACAAGCGGTACAAAGTGCACTTAAAATCGAAAATATAAATAGAAGAAGACAACTGCACATTTAAATTTAACCCTTTTAATACCGTGACAAGATAAATAGTTAACCGAATTGTGTTTTACGTCTCACGAACACCAATTGGCAGTAAATCTATCCTTAAATAATCACGTAAGCTGCATCGTAGTAAATCATTTGTGATTTTAATAGGTATCTTGATGAATATGACTAGATAATGGCGTAGACGAAACTACGCTACTGATATCCCTTGGCTATGGTCGTCGACGGTGGCTGATTTGCTTTATGTTTTTTTATTAATGATGTCTATAAATAGGTTTTTTGGACCCATCAGAGGACCTTTATCAATAATAATAATAACTTCATATTTCTTACACACGGCCGTCTGATTCCAAACTAGGCTGAGCCTGTGCTATGGTGACCAGGTTGCTGAGAAAAATACTTATATAGTTCTATATACGTATATATCATTGGTAAATTATACCTGGACACAGAACAAATGATCATGCTCATCAAACCATTATTTGTATTGGGTGGAAATCGAACCCACGATCAGTGGTTTAGCAATCAGGGTCACTAACCACTAGACCAACAGGCCAGTCGACTTTTGTGAATGGGTGAAGTGACCTTGTAGCCGCTTTTCTTCTCAGGCGGACTACTCACCGGCTGACCCAGTGGAGAGATTTATGAGATTACCTCAGGGCGCCTTCTAAGAGAACAGAAGTGTGTGCGTGTGGGAAACCTACAGGATTCCTTAGAGGAAAACAACTTACACCTCAGTCATACATACATGTATATTTCAAAAACAAAATTAAAGTTACAATAGAAAAATAAATAAATTAATCAGTGGGTACAAGAAAAACCGCAGCGGAGCGCGTCAGAGCCGAGCTGATGGTGCTCGGAGCCTCCTCGTCTTCACTCCAGGAGGTCACTTCCCCTTCCGCCCGAGTCGGCTATTTATATTAGATATTGAGAAAAGTTCACTATTGATATTTATAAAGTTAAATAGAAGTACGTAACCCTTGGGTACGGCTGTCCGCTTGCTTTGTGAGCCGCGTTACTGCCAGCTTGCCAGAGGGTACCGAGAAACTTGAATTCGAACCAGAAGGCCACAAACGAACAAGCACGCCGTCTGAGACTGACCGTCTTGACCCCGAAATCTGGGACCCTACGAATGGATTAGCACTCATATTATCGATCAGGTTCCAGAAACAAATAGGTACAAGAAAAATTAATAATATACTCACCACTTTCGTGGGTACTTTTAACAGATAATATATTATGAAAATAAAATCACAAGACAATCAAAACACTATTTAAGATTGGAAGACACGAGATAGCAGAGTGTCTCCCGTGGCTGAAAGCCGGACTTATATATGTTCGGTTTCCGAAGTTTCCAGAAATAATCCCTTCTTAACATTTTACTTTGACATTTAAATTATCAACGAGGTTAACACGAACAAAATCAAAAGTAACTCGCTTCCTACCATAACAAAACGCTCTTAATACCTATACAATTTGTCATGACAAATCAATAAAATGACCTATCTACAAACAAACGCCATCTAGTGGTCCGACGGCGAACAAAGAACATCAATACTGTAGCTACAAACTACTTAGGATAAATCAAGTACATGCGACGCAGGCAATAGATGTCGCTTTTGGCAACTCCGTACGCAATACAAATATCCTAAAAAAAATAACTGTTACAACCTTCGGTGTTAGTGGTTTCCTCAACTATTCCGAAATGCTCTCATACGTAAAAGCATATATCACCATCACCATAATTCCACTAATGAAAGTTTTTCAATGTTTCTTTTCGGATTTCGAACTAAACATTTTACTATGACGTGACCCTATTTGCATAGCCTTTGTAATTTTATCACGATCCTTTATGTCTATTGTGTGCATACACACCGCTCATATGAACCCTATCATCAAGCGGCATTGCTTGATGATAGGGTTATCACTTTTTATGCGTTATTAATATTTTATGGTATTTGATACCTTATTTATCATTATGATTACATATGTAATATCAAGTAATACTGCTACTTCGGGTATTTTCTGCTTACCATATTACTTCTTGTGATCTTATAGGTCAAAGTATGTACCGAAAATACTGCTGCAATCAAACTGTTGTATGTACTTGTATAACAATTAGAAGCGCATCTGGAGCCTATTAACACGTTTTTATTTGTTCAGAAATGAAAATAAATCATACAGAACAAAATGTTTGACTGAAAACAGTAATAAATTATTATTATTTTTTAGCTTAATGTACGATCTCTTTCTAGTAAATATATTAATAGATTTCTTACACTATGGTGTGTGGTTAATAAAGTTTAAAAGTACGATTGTGTTGTCTCCGTCGACGTTATTTTTAATTTTAAACGACAAAAGAAATGTAAACATTTTATGTAGAGTAAATAGAGGTATTTATAAAAAGTGATGTCGGGCTACTGATTGATATACATTAAAAATAAAAATTATTATTATAGTGGTAACAAAAAATAGAGAACAGTTAGCGCATTCCATATGCTTGAAAACCGTACTTTTTTTACAAATACTTCACATCACATTTGTTTTTTTTATTTTGGAATAGATTTCAAACATTTGTCTACTGTATTTTGCATTTTTGTTATTTAAACTGAATGTTACTCTTTTTATAGATTATTTACTTGCTCACTTTGACCCATATTAACCGTATTTACCTGTAGTGCACTTTGTTTAATTTGCTGTCTTGGTGTGACGTGATGTTGCTTCCGTTGTCTATCATGGTCTCCTTATTGACGCCGAATGGAGTGTTGAGCACAATACCTTCGTCAGTCATTCTTGACGTTAGTGATAAACTTATCGTCAACTAAGTTAGTGTTGTTAGAATTGTATATATGCGTATGTTTATGGTTCGTATGTCAGTTCAGCTGATCGGTTATGTACTTATTTGTAATACATAGTCTCTGAAAGAGTGGTTTAATCATTATCATTATCAAAATCAGTGGTTTTCAAAGGTAATCAGTAATGATGCTTAATATTATGCTTAATAATTGTAATATTGTTTCGGTGTTAAGTTTTCGACTTTCGTCAGATTCTTCTGTCAAAAAATAATGTTGAAGTTGAACTTTTACATTTTACGAAAGATAGAAAGCGTATCTTTTTCTGAACGTAGCAGTTGTAGTAGAGCGTATTGTTTATCTCAGATTAAAAAGAAATATCTTTCTCGTGAGAACAAGGAAGAAAGATATTTATTGATAAATTGTGGTGTTAAAAAAAATTAATAATAATAGCATAATAAGTATATGATTTTACTTAAAAATTGATTAAAGAAGAATACTAATTGACGGCGCGACGCGCTGTGAAGCGCGCGCGCCCTCTCGGGAATAGAATGGGAACACCGTGGTTCCCACACACTAGGGGGTCATCTACAAGCCGTAGATGGGCTGGGGCCCGACGGCGTGCCAGGGATTTCCGGGGGGATACAGGGTACATCTGGTTCCCCTGCTACTGGTACTCGAGACGGCGTACGGTTTTTGGTCAGTTCGAGTCCGACATAACCACCGGTGGGTGGTATCCGAGGAGATTTTCTGAAAATAGGGGAGACTACTAAACTATCGCTGGGGAGCAAGTTTTAGTCCTTGTTTTAGACGATGACGTGTTCAATAGAGTTTCTGGTATGTTATTTATTTTTACTTTGGGTAGGTATAGTACTTCTTTTCGAAGAAAAGGTCCTACATCTTTATATATCTGAATATATATCTAATAAATACATTTTTCAATGTGACAATGTGTATCTAAAATTCATGCTGATTGGCAAGGTGTGAAAGCTTAAGAAACAAATAAAAAAATAAGTTCTATTCACATTTATTAGTGAGAATAAGTTTTGAGAGCTACGAAGTATAGTTGACTTTCTGAATAAGTTTGTATATTCAATATATTCTATCCATACTTAAAATACCACGGACGTAAATTATGATTGCCATGGTAGAACCCAGGGTCATCACCACACTCATAAATTGCGACTCATATCACATATTCACTCTTAAACTGATAAACTTTGTAACAAGACATTTTTATTGGCCTTGTTACAACAGTGACATCACAATAGTTTGTAACTTCTTGCTATCTGAACTTACGACCTTTTGAGACAACTCTCAGTAGTTAGGCCATTGTTATATAGTCCAACAAGGCGTAGAACAATAATGAATGGTAGTTAGAAGCCTAAAAAATTTACTATAGGTAACCGGCGTGACCTTCAAGTAACGCCAGTGTTTTTGTATAGTATCTATTAATAGTCTTTCATAGATCTTTATAAAAAGTGACTTTGATTTTGATTGATTACCTTTTTAACATTGAAGGATTTACAAGACATTGCAGTTGAATTATTGAAATCGCTTATAATGGTTGACGTTATGTGGTTGACATTAATATTTGGGCCCTTTGAATCTTAGATCATTGACCTCAACTTTGTGTGTCTACCGATGCAGTAAAACTTAAATCCCATTAATTTTTTCTTGCACTATATTTTCCTATAGACATCCTATTGAGGATGTTTCACCATCATCTCAGCTGGAGATAGGCCTCTTCCAAGGTTCGCCACAACAATGTATTTCACTGAATGGATGTCTATATGTGAATTTTTATTATTTAAAGTTTTGGTAATCTGTGGATCGACAAGCTCACCAAAAAATTAAAACTTCTTAAGTCTAAGTAACAGCATTATAATCCATATTAAATGCGAAAGTGTGTCTGCCACGGTTACCGACATACGCGCGGGCGGAGCCGCGGGCAAAAGCTGGTAAAATAATAATTGCGAATCTAAGATAGTTAACACTGTGTTAAGTCTTTCAAACCAGAGTTTTTCTAAAAACACCGACTGCACGGATGGTGTAGTTGTTTAAGCGGTCGCCATGTCGCTTTTTACTGCGCGAGTGTTGTGGGTTCGATCTCCACAATTTGTTATTCTGAGTGTCTGTTTCATGTATGTTTGTAAAGTTTCCCGCGACACAGGATATATATATATTCCTAACGCGGGAGTTGTCTTTAAAAAAAACATGAAAATTAAAAACATTAACATGTATTTGACTAATCTAATGCATTTTGTCCTTAGTATCGTGAAGTTGCTGGCCCAAAATAAGGAAGACAAGAAACGCGTAGAAAAAGCACTGAGTGAGTCAGGCTTGCCGACTGGGAAAATCGACACAATCAATCAGTCAAAGTTCCAATTTGAAGACTTCTTCGCTTTCTATAAGAATCTCACGCAAAGGACAGAAGTACAGAAGATATTTAATAATCTGTAAGTATTTTTGTTATTTTTTTTATTTCAGAATTACTTTACATCCTTCCTTTGCTCTGATCTCCATGAGGGCGGCTGTCCGTTTCTATAACAGAATTAGGTCACGAAACGGTATGGCTACCTACAGGGTATCAAGCTCTGCTGGTCGACTCCCATGCAATAAACAGACCCACTTTTGCGGTCACCATGTGGTATCGTGGGGCACTACTGTGCCCTGCCAAGTCGAGTCAAGCGAAGCTCAAGGGCACTACCAACATTTTCTTGAAGCGCTTCGTCGTTTTTTTTGAACCCACAACTTGGGTTTGGATTATAACAGATAAACAAAATTCTCTAGATATGATGTCAATAGTAAACTTATTAAACATATAAATTTTCAATTGCATATTTCTTATACTTTAGATTTTTTGATATCTAGGTAACCCCGATTTCGACACTGACTCACTGATAATCATTAATATTCTTAGGGTACTTCCTGAAGTCCTAGAAATCTGAAATTTAGTATGTAGGCTAATATTAACATACCAACAACAAAGAAATTATAAAACTTTTCACTTTTACCCTTTCGACCCCTTAATCTAGGGGACCCATCCCCTACATGAGATTTGATTACTTTTTGACAGTGCGAGCCACATGGTCTCATCTTGGCAACATTTTACATGAAAATGTTTTTGGTGAGATTAATAAGTACGATTCCAAAATACCAATTTACAGCTTATCCAGGTGAAGTGGTGATGCGTGAGGGTTAGTATACTACGAACATTTGACTTGTATTTTAAATTTAACGAAAGTTGCGTTTGTAGGGTTCCGTAGTCATCAAGGAACTCTTATAGGTTTTCGCCTAGTTCATCCGTCCACTCATCTGTCTACGGTTTAGCTGAGAGACAGTACCAAAAAGATGTAATTTGGTACGGATATACATATTTATCACGCTGACAAAGTAGTAAAATAAAAACTTACGAAAAGTGATACAGTCATATAGTGGAAATGTATTTGTTTTTCTCATCTATCAGATGATGCGGGTATCGTGGAACTTTTAAAGATTGCGTGAAATATAACGATTTAGAAAGTTTAGGAAATATTAAACTTTAAAATATTAGGTCTAGTTTAATCAAATGACTTCGTCCACTTCTGCATGGTAAATAGTTTTGGGTAGGAAAAGCATTCACGGCAGTAGTATATTTATAACTATGTATATAAAACTATCAAATAACTACGCTTCACAAGTTAAGGAGTAACAGTCGAACAGTAATAAACAATGTTTCATACAATTTGGATTACTCAGGTGCAGATGTCATTGTTCGTGGCTCGACACGCATTTGGCTGGCTTTTAATTTTAGATAGCTAATTACAGTTTCAGTCAGGCGGAGTGCTGACTGATGTTATGATTATTTCTGGAATTCAGGATCAATGGCCAGTGACTTACAGAAACGACGAGTGTGTGACACATAAGTTGATATATGTATAATACAATGGTTGCAGATGTCAAAAGAAATTGTGTAGTTAAGAAATTAGCAATCAAATTAAACATATAACCTCGAATAACACTCACCGTGTACCATTTCAACATTGCAATAATTGATTCCTAGAAAACTACAATACTTGTTTTCGCTTCATCACTATTTACGGAGAAATAGTAACATTATTCAAATCATTATATTAAAAATTTAATCGAAAATAGCTATATAATTAAATAAAGCTAGACTTTTAAACTATGAGGCAGAAAATTTGAGAGATCATTTAAAGAATCAAAACAGACTGTTTCTAAATGTATTTTTAGGAACAGGTGTTTCACCACTATAATTATGCTGTAATTAATACCGATTGCGAATGCCAGACTTCTGAATTTTGACTCGTCAACACGTTTCGTGTTTTTTTAGACATTTTAATTAAAGTTGAATCGGATCGGAAAACATCAGATACTCGTATTGTGCTAGTTGAATTTGTATTCTTGACTAGTTACATTTTTCAATCAATCTGTTTTTATTTATTAGCCACATTCATAGTCTCCAAAAAGACTGTTCTTTTTTTAGGCTCAACAAGATCGATGACATATTGTATAAAACTACTTATAATAGGTAGTTCTTTTGTGTTGATGCTATTAATCTCACGTTAAAACTTAATGAGAGTGGTAAGGTCGATGAGACATTAATGACAAAACATATATAATATAATGCATAATAGTTAACCGTCAACCGGACCATACACTACTTTGGTAGGTAGTACACACCACAATTTAGGTACATCGACTTTGTACAATTAATTGCGTAATGTGCGTTCAACGTGATATACTGCAATACATATACGATATAACACAACCATATATTTTGGGTTATAGAACATCTCTCTCTCTCTCTGTCTGTCTGTCTCTGTCTTAAATGTTATTCACCGGCCAGCACTAAAAGCAGTATTCTTTCTTTGTTTAAATAAAGCCAATCCAAGCGTAATATATAAAATCATACCAATTATTCTAACTATACGTATGAACACTAGACACAATATTTCGATATCACAAATATAATAATTATTGTTATGTTTAACAACATCTGTCAGAAATGAGACAATGGCTTTACTTGTGTTAAAAAAAAAGTAGTCAAGGTCGAATGCTAATTGTAGTAGCCAATATTATAAATATATATTTCATATTACCATCAAGTTTTATCAATGTTGTCTAAGTGTAAATAAAGTATGTACTTAAATAATATATAATTATACAGTAAATATTTGTTTCGGACATGATTGGGAGCATTTTCAAGGAGTGAAGCGTCCTGACGCGACGATGGCAGCATCCTTTAAATACAAAACCTTAAAACCGTAGGTACATCTTTAATAAATATGAACACCGCTCTCGATAGTTTTTATTCAGTAATATTCCTTTAAAATAATACGTTATTAAATTTAGTAACTCTTATATAAAAGTAAGTAGGCACGTTAACCATATTTTCCTCTAATGTTAGCTCGCGTTAGGTATTTTTCTGTTCCTTTGGGGACAGTACGTTTTTCTATATTACTCGTAAAGAAACATATACACAGGTATAGAAACAAACACTTGTTTTCGTGCGGAAATTCCCTTTGGATACCCCCCGCCTGATGGCCGGTGGGGTGGTTATGTCGGACTCGAACTAATTGAACCCCACACCGCCTCGGTTACCAGTAGCCGGAGAACAAGGTGTATCCTAGAAAGGTACCCGTTTTCTCTTTTTACATTTACACAACGTCATCTAGTCCCAAACTAAGCAGAACTTGTACTATGAGTACTATATAACTGATATAAATACATATCAAATATTTTTTTGTAAATACATACATATTATACATAAAAACACCCAGACCAAATAGAACATTAAATGTTCATGCAATGCATTCCGAACGTCAAATTTTTCAATTTATTTTTTGTATCGCATGCACTATTATTTAGGATATTAGATATCCCTTCTTATATTCTAACTTATATTAGAGTAACGAGTTGGGAGCCCATAAAACTCATTCTATTTATAAAGTGGATGTGCTTCTGTCGTTTAAAAAGGTCGCAGGTTGAAGCGAGGCGACAATTAGTTATAATTGTGGGGTCATGATAACCTCATCATGTAGTTGACACGGGAATAAATCACAATTGATATATACGCCTACTTACATCGTGATATATTAACCCTAAAAGTTCTTAAGTTGCGTAATGTAGTTTTTTTTTATTAATTTTGCAAACGAAGCTGTTGGTGAAACTTCCGGCATCTGCATCAGGGGGACCATTCATTAACGGGTCAACAACCATGTACACTTCTCCCCTCTCTCCAGAAATGGGAGGAAGGGGTTGCAGTTCCGGTAACCTCACTCACTCGGTGAATACGGGTTTCAGTGATGGCGATATCCCTGTTTGTTGTCTTTTCAAGTATAGAATATACATAGGTTGTAGGTGCTCCAGTTTTAGTACCGTTTTCTATCCGCTACATGCGTTGGCTATCTCTCGCTTAGCTCTTTCACCCTATCTGTTTCCTTACTCCCATTTTCCCTTTTCTCTTTGTCCCTTTGCATATTACACATTGTGCCGAACCCTAACCAAATTTAGAAAATGCCAGTAAGGCAAAGGGCCCGGTGATTAGATGTCTCCGTGAAAAGGATTCACTTTTAATATCCTATTGTGGTGATATGCTAAATATAGATGTTTTTATGGAAAAACACCTGACTCGTTATGTATTTAGTGAGTTAGAAAAAATACTTTTTCATCTGGACACTAGTTACCAGGGATCGGAATAGGTACAGTATACGAGTATTTACCAAAAGGTAACACAGAGTTAATAACATCTTTTAAAACCCCGAATCATAAATTATTACGATTAAATCCCGGGATTTAAGAATTTGCAAATTACTTATCGCGCTTAGTACAATTAAAAAAATATTATATTGAAGATTCTTATGATATTTTTAGAATTCCGTATTAAAACTGTTAAATTAAAGAGCTTTGTTCTTGAATGTTTTCTTTTATGTGATAATATTGTAATAAATAGGGTCACAAACGTTAAGCAAAGCTTGCCAAGTTGGTCAGTAGATGGGTAACCATTCACGAATATGTGGTAATACTATTTCGAACTTTAGGTAAATACACTCTACCTATTACGATCTCTGCTAATTACGTTTTTGTAAAGAGTTGGTTAAACATCGCATTGATTAAAGTTATGTGTGATTTTTGTATTTAATACGTCAGATAAAGAGATAGTTTATCAGAAAGTATTGATTGAAAATTATTTGATGTCACCGACATTTAGTTTTGAGCGCCTGAGTGACCGAGGTCCGGCTTTTTTTTGTAAAATTGCGTTCTTTTAGGAAAAAAAACACATTTTCCAATGAAATTAAAAAAAAAACCTACATCACTAGAGACATTTTTGAATTACTTAAAAATATAAAATATCTATATTTTTAAGTAATTCAAAAATGGCTGTAGTAATGTAGGTTTTTTTGACCCTATTTATTACAATATTATCACATAAAAGAGAACATTCAAGAATTTTTTTCTGTGTAAAACAAAGCTCTTTAATTTAACAGTTTTAATACGGAATTCTAAAAATATCATAAGAATCTTCAATAACATATTTTTTTAATTGTACTAAGCGCGAAAAGTAATTTGCAAATTCTTAAATCCCGGGATTTAATCGTAACGGCCACTTACTTCTACCAATTTCAAGAAAATTACATTGAATCTGTGCTCAAGTATCAAGGACCGTTGACAATGACATTATTTAAAAAAAAAGAACAAATGCTAGCCTGCCCCGAGTGTGGCCGCGGGTGGACGGGACGAGTTTTACCCTCTATGCGCTATAGTGGCCAGCCGCGAGGAGGCGACGTGCGCGTGTGCCGTACCTCGTCTAAATAGAGAATTTACCTGAAATTGGTGTCCACGCTTTGCGGGCAAGCACCAGAACAGGTCCGGATGTCTTAATAATAGCAGTTTCTGGATCCCTTTCTATTACTGGCGTAGAGTGGCACACCGTGTGGTTTTAGTCGATCCGATTCCGAGACACCACCCTGCCGTAAACCCCGGTGGGGTGACGGCCCGAGGAGGTTTCCACACGTTAAAAATAAGTCGTTAATGACGTGTCATATCTGTCATCCCATCTACATCTTGGATGGCTGGTGGCTATTTTTGTTTATTGTTGTTAAACATTCACATTCTATATGCGTAGTTGTTCAGGAAGAGGAGATAATCTTCTTTTTGTTGTCTTTCTTTCATTTTTAGTTTATCAGTAGCTTGTTATGATTCTCGTGATTCAATGAGTCATAACAGGAAAACGCATCACAAAAACATATCTCTGACATTTTCAGGACAAATTTGACATCATAAATGCTTTGTTGTGTAAATTATTTTATTTTGATTTAGATTTAAACTTCTATAATCTATTTAATTTTTGACACTTACTAGCTTTTTATTGCACGTTTTATTGCAGTAAGTGTTGTGAATTTGATTCTGCATGATAAATGAACTGAGATTTCAATTAATTTCAATTAATAATCCCTTCTGTCGAAATTGTCATATTACGTGTTGGCAGATGATCAAAAACAATCAACGATTGCTTTGAGGTTTTCCCCACCGTCGTTTTCTCAGCTATCTAGATAATCATTTATTCCTAACTAGCTCTCACCAGCGCTTTTGTCCACCTGCGTCTACTATACAAGTGGACAAAGGCGTGCCTTGGGCATGTCTTTGCGATAATTCAAGATATGATCTGTGAATCTAATGTAATCTAAATCTCTTTAGCCCCGATAGGTAAGGACATTAACTGAATAAGGAAAATTTATTTTCTAACAAAAATAGTAAGTATATTAAGTACCTAAATAATTGTACAACTTGACATCTTTTTCTTTCTCTAAGAATTTTAATACACTGTTCTAGGCTCTTGTTGTATAGGTTATATATGTACATTGCACTTAATATTATTGGATAAATATCGTTGTTAGAAAGCGTTACAGGTACTAGATCCTACCTTTAGGTCTTACTAACTAACGTAACTTACTAATTGCTAACCTGAAAAGGAAGTGTGTAAACTGTGGAATTCTTCAATAGACAATTAGTTAAAACAACATTGTCTCATATTACCATATCTAAATGTATATCAGACATTGTTCTACAGGACAATTATTCGAAGATATTTCAATTATATACAAGATGGACCTCATCTAGTCGTTAAAAATGCAAATAGCGTTCTAGAGATATTAATACTTCTAAAATAATATGAATACATTTGTAACTGTCACTCTACATAAAACGGCAATTGTATTTTTACTACATTTATTTTTAAAACGACCTTTACGCCGACGTTTATATACGTTCTATATAGAACTCGTCTGACCTGTAGAAAGTTACTTATATTGTGTTTTGTTTCATTCGAGGGTCTATGAAGATCGATAAAAAAAAAACATTTATAATCAAATTATTGTACAATTATTGTTATCACAGTGATGTATGTCAATAAATTCCCTTGTTACAATATAAACCTTGGCATGATTACATTCCTCGAAAGGGCAAATTGTGTGCAGGAAATTTTCCCACAACTGACATCCGTTTTCATGGTCAAAGCAGGTCGATAACATGATTTTATTTGCAGCACGGACGACAAACCACATCTGTCTGCTAATCAGCTGGTTGATTTCCTTAACGAAGTGCAAAGGGATCCGAGGCTCAACGAGATTCTACATCCATATGCAGACCTGCAGCGAGCGAAGGATCTGATAAAGACATATGAACACAACAAGTACCATCAACAACGATCGCAACTGACTTTTGATGGATTTCTAAGGTAAATGATGTCAACATTCTTGTGAGAAGATTCGTAATGCGGTTAATACTACCTCTAACTAAATATTCTTGAGTAGAAATAGCGGAAAGTAGTAGATGTCCAGAAAATACGTTCTGAATTTTCATATTGTTAGAATAAAGATATAGTTAGTTTTACGGCCCGTAAAACGGGTGCACTAAAAGAATTTTTATTCCAGTCATAAAAACGAAAGCTCTAATTAACACTTTCTCACATATACATTACTCATTTTTTTTGTTTACAGTATCACTATGATTAATATGGACTTTTAAAATGTATAATATCATGAACATAAACTTTTACTTGAATTGCGTGGCTGTTCGTTGTAATGTATGATATATAAACACTTAGAAATAATTATCATTAATTACTTTTTATTATCCTTCTTCATCGTACATAGCAAAAGTATTAGACTTATTCTTCAATTTCAGGTTTTTAATGTCAGAGGACAATCCAATTGTGGCGACAAGTAAATTGGATCTATGTGATGACATGGAACAGCCATTAGCACATTACTTCATCAACAGTTCACATAATACGTACCTGACTGGTCATCAGCTTACGGGGAAGTCTAGTGTGGAGATATATAGACAGAGCTTGCTGGCTGGATGCAGGTTAGTAACAAGTTTCTCTATTTTGTATTGCTTGAAGGTTTGTATCCATCTTGTCGTGCCGTGCCGTTCCGTGTGGTGACGGATTAAGAATACGAAGTATCATCACCCCTATTTATCCCGTGGGTGTCGTAAGATCCGACTAAGGGAACCAACTGCGCAAGACAACAACACTGCGAAGAGAAGGAAAACTTAAAACAAACCCTATACCAACCCGTCTGGCCAGCGTGGTATAGTAGGCCAAAACCTCTTTTCTAAAGAGAGGCCTATGTCCAGCAGTGGACTATTTAAGGCTGATGATGATGATGGTGATGATCCATTTTGATCTTACATTAAATAACTGCAAATTGCTAAAAATTTGTTAGAAATAAAAGTATTGGTGAGAAATAGGCAGTGAATATATTTTTCTTTTTTGTTTGACAATTTAATTTTCAATTAATTGAATTGACAAACAAAAAACAGGATGGTTCGGCTCGTTTAGTAACAGTTTCTAATGTTTCGTAGAGTTCAACATCTTAGCATTCCTTTATATTCCTTGGCACTGGGCGTATAACTATGAGACTTCTTTAACGTTTATCAATTTTATTTTCTATCTAAGTTTATCGGTACAACACTTTGTGTGATCCACAAATTGTTGTGCCGAGTCTGGGTGTTATTTGTGTCCGTTTCATAGACGTGTGATAAGTCCCCTGCGACACAGAAGATATTTCTATTGGGGGAAAAATATTTACGTCCAAACCGGATCATTCCGTTATACAATTTGTTAACTTTTCTGTGAAATGTTTGAAATTAGTCTGAACTGGTATGATTTACTGCTGAATAAATTGAAACAAACACAATTACTAAATTGCGTATTTTACAATGATTTCACTGTAAAGTGACGTGCCCTCGTAAATAATTTTACTACAATTGGGAGATGTGTATATTGTTGGGCTTTGTAAACGGGTTTTTAAAACATACGAGTAGTTTATGCGACGTCTTTCGTATATTACTTATCTTATAAGCGTCATTAAAACTATTTATTATAATATTTTATTTTTATAATATAAGTTACTACCTCTTACCTGCGACTCCGCTAACATAAAAGTGATTTTCCATCTAAAATATTTTGAAATAAATTTTAAACTTGAGATAATAAAATTGTCAACCCTTTTTAGTTCACGTAGAAACCCTCTCATGCCGTTACCACACCGGTTCTCGGTGGGACGGTGTGTCGAAATCGAACTGGCTAAAACGTCATGCCTAACTGCGCTTGAAATAGGTGAGATCCGTTAACAGGTTTTAAAGGGTTAACCCTTATGAAACATTAACATGATGTAACAACATTTTGCGTTCTATTTTTGCTATTAAATTTACTTAAATTTTTTGTTCATTAAACAAAATTTCTTACGATCTGTGGGTAAATTAATTATTTTAAATTTATGCATCATGAAACATTAAGTCTTTTTTTACACGTATAATAACACTTATTGTGAGGCATTATTAAACGCCCGTTTTATCTAGCTACTCGATCGCATACAATGCAAAAAATATAAACATTGTAAATTCAATTATACAACACGATGAAGTAATTTATTTGCGTTCATAATTTTATTATACTTTTTTAATGTTTTCAAAAAAATATTGACATGGCAACTGTTAGTTTTATAAAATTATGAATGCTAATTTATACTACGTTGGAGTATGATTAGATACACGAGTCTATATCATGTGTAGTGTAAATATGTAACTAAAACATGTTGTAAACATAAAAGTACGTTTCATCGATAATAATTGGACATGAGTAAAGCATTCATGAACCAAAAAAGTATTTACATACAACGTTACTCTACCCTACTAATCACGTAGGCCATTGTTTCGGAAACATAGTTTGTTGTCAAGGCAATGTCGAAAAACATTTTTACCTATTTAATAAAGCTAATGAGATTCATCTAAATTGAGCGGAAGCATAAATACCCGTAGTATTCATTTAGTCAAGATGTAAAATACAGTGCCAAAAAACGAGATAATTATCAATAAGGTTACTGTTCTGCCAGCCTCTGGAACTCTGACTGCTATACTTAAAAGTAGAAAAAAAATCCAAACTATGCCATAATCTATATTCGAACAGAAATCTGTTAGGCTATGCTTACTAAAATGTAACAATGAATAGCATTTTCTATTAGCAACATGTTTTTTTTTTTTGATAAGACTAAATTGTTATGAGATATTAGGATTGTATCCTGTGTCGCGGGGGACTTTACAAACATACATGAAAAGGACACAAAGAACACTCACACTCAGAAGAACAATTTGTGGATCACACAAAGTGTCGTCCATGTGGGGATCAGACCCACAACAGTCAGCGTAGTAGTAAGCGGCGTGGCGACCGCTTAAACCACTACGCCATGCAGTCAAACGTCGTGCATCCGTGCAGACATGTTTTGTATGCTTATTTGAATCTGAATTAACTTTGATATTTGCACGTTAAATAGGTTTGTCGTAAAGAATACTTTTTTATTCTTTTTAATAGTAGCCGTTTGCAATTTTTCTACAAACGATGTGCAATGAATAAACACCTCAGCGAAAACCTAGTGTAGCGAGCCTTTTGTTTGCTTATTTTAATAGGCTTCCGCCGCGCCCGAAGCCGCGACAACAGCAGATAGAAATACAAACGTTTTTGTTCAAACAAAGAATTAAGTACTTTGGTAGATTATTTTGACGTAGCTTTTAAGTCTTTGATAGTCCACTACTGGACATAGGCCTGTCCTTAGAAAGGAGGTTTTGGCCTAATACACCACGTTGGCCAGACGGGTTGATATAGAGTTTGTTTCAAGTTTTCTTTCTCTTTGTAGTGCTGTTGTCCTGCGTAGGTTGCTCCCTTAGTCGGCTCTTATGACACCCACGGAACGAATAGGGGTGGTGACACTCCGTATTCTTAATCCTTCACCATACGGTAATGTAAAGTACATAGTATTTCGATAGAAATATCTTGACAGAACCATCATCTCAACCCCGGGAGAGCCATGCTTCTTCGGAAGTATGGAAGTATGTAGTGATACCACGGCTTCATAGAAAACTGGTGTTAGGCGATTCTTTCTTTGGGTTTTACCGAGTTTTCGAGTTTTTTCTGATTCCGGGCGGGGTAGGTAGGTAGGTAAACCCTCTCGGTTTGCCCAAAGTGCGGCTTGTGGCAGTCACTTATCATTTTACAGTCTCTTCACTTGTCTCTTATATCGTAAAAACGTACCTTATTTTCGAAAATCTTCGGTAGCAAGTCACTGTATCTCATCTTATATTAGAATTAAAAGCTTTTGTAACTGGTACTCATATTTATTATAGATACATATACGGTTATACTCATATATTTGTATTTCGGGGTAGCCTCAATAGTTCGACGACTCAATAGCAGACGACGGCTCTGTGACTTCTAACACCGTTGCATCAGCATGCTTTACTCTTGAAAAGGGGCCTCCATCGCAGAAGGAAACTAGTGGAAAGAGTATATCCGAACGGAACGACTGGTTCTAATAGAAAATTGTTATTTAGTGTTGAATAGTCTATTTATCGAGGAAGTCTGTAGGCTATAAAACATCACGCTACCACTAATAGGAGTGCTTCACTCCGTGAAAAATGTAGGAAAAACGCGAAAACAATTATTCCTTTTGAGAACTTCTGTAGCGTGCGCTACGTAAATTATTAAAGATACGTAACAATCGTGTATGACGGAATTCTTGATTAAAAAGTTCTGAAAAAACTGCGTAATAGCATATGGCTATCTTTTAAAATGTCTGCCTTAAGTGGAGCAGACGAAGTTGCGTGGGTCTGCTAGTCTTTATTCAATCTTCAATCTTAGTTGCAGCACTAATTGGGTCTCGTTCACTATCAGAACTAATTTGTTTATTCTATCTTTATAGTATTATCGATGCATTTTTAATAGTATTTCCAATTAGTGCCGTATCAAACACTTGCTTTATCGACGTTATCGATATGAATTGGGCCTTAATTATATAAAAATATTAAAATATACATACATACGAGTATTTGTGGGTGATATTCTATTAGCTTACATTTTTAGCTCCGTTTATGTTACAAATAGAGGTTTTTGTGTTGTATGCTAAGTAAATATTTATAAGTTCCACACCAGAGATACTAATATTGCACAAGTATGTAATTTTTAGGGTTTCGTACCTAAAGGATAAAACGCGACCTTATTACTAAGACTCCCCTGTCCGTCCGTCCATCTGTGTGTCTGCTCATCCATCCGTTTGTCACCAGGCTGTATCTCATGAAACGTGATAATAAGACAGTTGAAATTTTTACAGATGATGTATTTCTGTTGCCGCTATAACAACGAATACTAAAAACAGAATAAAATAAATATTTAAGGGGGCTCCCAAACAACAAATGTGATTTATTTTGCTCGTGTTTGACCTATATTGATAACGCCAACAGGTAGACGCTTGAAATATTCACAGAATATTTAGTTTAATAATAACTTTAAAAATAAATAATTAAATTAAAATTAAACAAATATTTAAGGGCTCCCATACAACAAACGTGATTTATTTGCCGTTTTTATAGATAATGGTACGGAACCGCGCGAGTCCGACTCGCACTTGGCCGGTTTTTTAGGGTTCGTTATTCTTGGTAATCCAGTAATGTCTACTAATAAATGTTACTTTCATTACATTTTTTTTTTCAAATCACGATTTGAGAACATCTTTAACTTACCTATCGCTATTTAACACGCTCGATGATATGCCAACATATACATGCCTTTTTACATACTCGTAAAATATCATCATTTGGATAATATTGACTTAATTATTAAGGCAGTGCATACTAGATCATAAATAAAAGAAATGATATGAACCTATCATACATACGAGTAAAAGACTGTTAGGTAGATTTTGTGCTAATAACATTTCGGATAGCTTTTTATTTCGAAAACGTTCATGTTTTCTCCGCGAATCCTATTATCTACTATTAACAAAACAACACACGCTCCCTGATGTATGTACACTGCGGTACTGTTAACAAGAGTTTATGTGTACGGAACGAATCGGCACTATCTCCATCTTTCTATCGATAATTATATCTAGACGATATACATTATTATCTAACAAAAAGATTCTATTCAAGTCAAATACACTGCATGCAAGGATGGAGTAGTGTTTTTAGCGGCCACCTTTCTGCTGCGCTGGATGTTGTGGATTAGATCCCCAAATGGGACAACACTTTGTGTGATCCACAAATTGTCGTTCTGAGTCTTGGTGTTCTTTGTGTCCGTGACCATGTATGTTTGCAAATTCCCCCTGTAGTCCCCCGTGGCACACGATATATTCCTAGTGCGGGAGTTGTTTTTTTTTTTTTATCAAGATTAGCATGTCGTACGCAGTTGTTTTTAACCGACTTCAAAACACAAAAGATGAGGTTATCAATTCGTCTAGATTTTTTTTGTCTGTTTGTTACGCGATATCTCCGTCAATTGTAAACCGATTTTCAAAATTCTTTTTTAATCGATAGGGTATACTTCCGAGGTGGCCTCATTACCACCAGATCAAGATCTGATAGTGGGATCCTAGATAAATCGAGGGAAACCCTCAAATTTTACAGACCCGAAAAAACGTGTTTTAGCTTGTTTCTCTAGCTGTATAGGTATTTGCGTTTAGTCGTCGTTATGTCATGTTGCTGAGGTGATGGTGGAGGGGTCCTTAACCTTTAGGATTAGAAAATAACTCTTTAAAAATCTAATAATGTATTGACCTTGTTTTTTTCTTTCAAGATATTTGTTAGGTGTTTGTGTTTGTTGTTCATAAATATTAGATTACAAAACATTTAGACAAAGGGAAGTTTTGGAAAATTAACTAATGTGGAAAACAATATATTTTCGTGATCGAATGTAACATCTTACTACCTTATCTAAATAAAATAACGGACTTATTAAACTATAATTAATATAATCTAACACACTACTCTTGGGGACTATACATTACGGTACGTAGTGTTTTAAATATCGTACTTATCTTCTCATTACAAACACATCCTGCACTAAAAATGGTAAAAAAAATCCTTTCAAAGATAAAGTTGAACCCACTTCAAACAATACTGACAAAGATCCCAAAAAATTAATAAATAATTACAAATCTATGTAAAAAACTATCTACTAACTACCATCAATATAACAGGTAACATTATAATAGCAATAGTCCCTTCTAGTCTGTTTGAAGTCGGTGCCAAGCGAAAAAGGTGCTTGATAGGCTTGGTAGAATGTAGCGAAACTTTTATTACGAGAATTGTCCTTCAGGTACATAGGTGTATGCATTTTGTAAGATAATCCGCCTTTTGGGGTTTATGGTTTCCCCCTGCCAAACAGACTCATTTGTCAGGGGAAAAAGATAAGTGGAATAATTATAAGCTCTTAGTTTCACTAGTTACCTCGTAGAAATTATAGAAACATTTTATTTATTAAATATTTATTTTACAGATGTGTGGAACTAGACTTCTGGAATGGTCGTACCGATGAACCGGTCATTGTCCACGGATACACTTTTGTCCCTGAGATAAGCGCCAAAGAAGTTCTCGAAGCGATTGCTGAGAGTGCGTTCAAAACATCCGATTTTCCTGTGATACTCAGCTTCGAAAATCATTGCAATCCAAGACAACAGGCGAAAATAGCTAACTATTGCAGGGAGATTTTCGGAGATATGTTGCTGGATAAACCTCTGGATTCTCATCAGTTGGAACCAGGTAAGGAGAAAATTATATATTAGTTTACTTTTAGCTCAAATATCAACTGACTTTATGCTATATAGACGATATTTTTGTAAAGTTATTAAAGATTTCTTTGTTTCATTGACCTTCCATATAAACTTTACGGAATGCCGTAAATAAATAAAAACTAACAAAATAAAAAACAGATAACAAATAAACAGTTATGACATTAAAATACCTAAGTATACTGAGTAAAATATAAACGTAAAAGATTTACACGTTCTGCCGGTATCTGGTTATACCCATTGCTCAGTTAAATAAACTATTAATGAATTAAAAGCTTAGTTTCCATAACAAACTGTGAAGTTAATGTAACAACCACACGTGTGTGTACAAGAGATACGTTTGTAAGATCGGTCATAAATAGAGATGCTGTAAGTTGTGAGCTAGCTAAAAACCAAATACCGGATACCGGAAGTTCGGCGTTATTTAAATACCTATCCCAATTCATGTAATCAGTAGTAGATGATTCGGTTTTTAGTATTTTTTTATTACAGTAGTAGGTATGGCCATCAACTTAGTTTATTATTTTAAAGGCATAAGTGAAGAGCGAATAGAAATACGTATGTCGTTTAGATTCTTAGCAGCATACTGAAAAGGGTGTGTGAAATATCCGCAAGGTGAGAAGGGATTAAGAATACGTAGTGTCGCCACTTATTATTAATCTCTTGAGTGTCCTAAGAGCCGACTAAGGCAGCAAACTACGCAGGACAATAGCACTGTAAAGAGAAGGAAAACTTGAAACTAACCCTATACCAACCCATATGGCCAGCGTGGTATAGTAGGCCAAAATCTCATTTTTAAGGAGAGACCTATGTCCAGCGGTGGACTGTTAAGGGCTGTTGATGATGATGACTGAAAAGGCCTTAATTAGCGAGTTTGTATGAGAAAAGTCTTATGAATGGATGACACGACGGTTAAGGTGAATATAAAGGCCCAAGCTGTAAATCAGGATCGTGGTTTTTGTCTTTGCCCCTGCAGGTGTGCATACAAATATTGTCTTTATTGAACCGAGTCGAAGTGATACCGTAAACAAATTTGTACCAAATAACTATTTTAAGTACTGTATCAATAACCTACGTTTACCTGCATTAAACTAAAATAAAAAAAATAGTATGTTTTATATTTAAAAAATTAACGATACTAAGATATTACGTCATTACCATCATGGTCAATTACAAGTTGGCTTGATAGATACTGATTTTATAAGACAAATAACAATCTTTTTTTATATCTCAAAATAACAGCTGTACTGTATTAGTAGTATTAGTTAGTGCAAGTAACAAAAATGTGTCTGGGTAATTGAATACCGGATAATTAACCAGATGTCTGTGGCATCTCTAATCGTAAGGTAAACGAACACCTCCTGGGATTAAAGATTGTGTTAAACAGATAGGTTGTTTGTATTCCACGACCATTAATCTTTTATACGCAATAGCCGAATCTCCATCGCATTTTATTGATCGGTGATGAAATCCAGACGATTTTGATGTGATTTTATTAGAGGAAGTGAGGTCTTTGTTAACATTATTCTTTATTATCCTGTTTTGTCGCGGCTTTGATTACGTGGCTATGTGACATGCTAAATCTATTAGAACTGAAATGAATTAGTTTTATTTTTATCTAGAATTCCATTTCACAACTTGTATAAATTCCAGAGCATGGAGAGACGCGTTATGTGACACACTTACGTCAGTAGACCAAAATTTATTGGTGTATGTGGCGCTAGTATGAGTACCGATTGCGAGTCCTTGGTTTTATTCCCGGGTACCTATTTTTTACTCACACACACACACACACACACACACACACACACACACACACACACACACACACACACACACAACAGCCTTTAATAGTCCACTGCTGGACATAAGCCTCTCCTTGGAAAGGAGGTTTTGGCCTACTATATTACTATTTTTTACTCAACTGCGGGAAACCCATAATAGGTCTGTTTCTTCGTTCCTTAGTAACTTCTAAACGATTTGGATGAAATCGGTAAAATTAAAAAATAATAATACTAGGTTTTGAGATACATGATACGTTATTGATTTTTTTTCTTCTAAACCCTTTATGATGCTTTCTTACAATAGGGTACAACTTATTGTATGCATATTATGGCTCGTTCCATATTATATATGTCTGTTCCCCTGCTTAGCCCTTTGTGTTATATAGTGCACTAATTTATCTATTTATTTGGAGTGCTCGATACGCTGAAGTTAAAACATCTGGACTATTTACATTGGAACAGAACCAAGTGTTCCTTTATGCCGTGTAAACATTGGGAGACAAATTGTTTTCGCTAAATCATTTTCTACTTCAATGTTTCAAACAAATTGTTTGTGTGTTCAACGAATGTTTGAATTGGCAGTTCATCTCTTCATTGTGCAGTGTTGAGGGTTATGGTTTAACACGTTTTTAGGTACTAAATAAGATCTATGTACTAATAAATCTAGTTCAAACAATCTAATGTTATAGTCATATAGAAATAGTATTTGTGTTAAAGTGGAAACAATAAGTTACTTTCCTTCGGCAGTTAAACTGAGCTTTTGTACCAGAGTCGGAAAGACTAAAACCACAATCATTCATCTCCTTATCGATACACCAATAATAGTAATAATAATAAAAATGACTTCAGACGTCTCACACACGGCCGACTGGTCCCAAGCTGACAGAGCCTGTTACTGTGAATACCAGACTGCTGATTAACATACTTATGTATTTCTAAATACATACATATTATAGATAAATTACACCCACACACAGAACAAATGATCGTGCTCATCACACAATTTTTTGTCCGGTATGGGAACTAAATCGGAGGTCGTCAGAATATACTAAGAAAAATCCAAATATACTCGTACAACACCACAACAAAACTAAACAGAAATTTCTAGTTAGGTAGCATTCCGTTAACCTTTGTTCATTTGGAGTACAGTAACCTTTTTCCTCTTCTCGTAGATCACGCGCAGACCTAGCCTTCACTGAGTCGATGATCGCTTGAACGGCTACCTTTACCATTGCCATCAGACCATGTCATGTTTTTATTGTTATTTTGCACTGTCGTCGTTAGTTCCGAGGTATAAAATGTTTATGATCGTTCTTTGGTTCAGTTCACCAAATGGTAGGCCACATGCATCATTGCCTTAGAATTGCAGGTTTCGGTATTGTTAAAACAGCGCTCGTTTACTATAGTTACGTCTATGTTAAATAGTTCGACAGACAAAGCCTTGACACATTTTCGTACTTACGGTGTCCGTCAGTTAAGTTGAATATGTAAAGTTATACTAAAATCATTTGTAACTACTAAAATTTCCAAAAAATTCTTTCAGCAATCAGATTCTAACTACCCGTCTTAACAATTCCAATACACATTGTTTAAGATATGTGTAGATATCTTAAGAAATATGTTATTTACATTACCGGTTTTGTATTACATAAACATCTTTAACTAGGCTAATTTTTGCTCTAGAATGTATACTAATATTGTAAAGCTAATGAGTTTGTTTTTCTGGTTTAACGCGTTTATTCTGGTTTACCAATTGAAATTTAAAATTCCTTTTGTATATATTTTTGGTTGATTTATACAAATATAGTATCATGTAAGCATATCAGGAACTTTGTTAAACTAGAAACCTCAAAGGAACGGGCACTCAGAGGCTACTGCTTAAATTTTGCAATTGGTTCCGGCGACCGGTTCATCTGACTTAGGCTAACGTCCGGGCAATCCCAAACTCTAATGGAAACAGGAACGGTCGCTGTTCGGGAAAACGAGGAAGAAATTACGCTTATGTTCTGGTGCATCCATTAACACACGTTGACGCGTCCCCCACATATCCGTTTTATTTTGCCGGTAAATGGGCACACAGCGTCGTTTATTGATAAATCTTTACTGTTGTGGTTATTGTGGTCCAAACACATTTAAGAAATCAGTAAGGGTCTCACGCGTAACCAACCTTATTCCGCACTCCGGACCTCTGGTGATGTTGCTCATACATCATTAATTTCTTTTAATGCAAGTCTTCTGAAGTCGACAACGGTTTCAGTCACAAGTTGTTACACACCAACACAATGAGCCGTAATTCTTAAGAATTTATATAAATAGCCAATGAAGATGTCATTACATTATCCCGATTTAGTGGCTTACTTTTTTTAACCATTTATCGATGTTTGCTTGGACAAGCGTTTCGCATTTACGACGTCTACATCAATGTGTCAATAACCTTGTTTTACTTATCTTTTCGGGGTTTTTATATTTTTTACGAGCTGTTTGTAAACAAAACATCGTAAAATGTAAGTAACGGTTGATGGTTTCAGACGAAATAGGCCGCCACAACGAAGTAAGAGGCTATAAAAAGTAATCAAATTATACGTATCCACCTGTTAAACTTATGAGACACGCTTAAACTGAACATACTTTTTTTTTGTGTCAAGTAAGGGTGTCAAAATAAAGATGGCCTACTTAAAAATGCAATACTTGATGTACAGAGAAAGATAAATATATACATACATGTACATTATTTGTAGATTTTTATTGAAATTATAAAAAATAATGTACAAAAAGCGGCCTTATCGCTTCGAGCAATCTCTTTCAGGCAGCCTTGGGATGGCCTGGAATCATTTTAGACTGGTGTATGTCTTAACGTACGAAATGTATACTTATCGTCATAAATATTACTACTCAACATATATATTAAAATACCATACTTATAATAATTTTTATCTAATTTTTATCTTATATTCGACTATAGTGACAGATGACAGATAATGCTCATACAATATAGTTTTGAAGATGGTTACGAATTGCACTCGTCTGATAGAAACTGGCACTGCATTCCATAATTGCACAGCCATTTTAAGTATGTTTACTGTTGATACCTTTTCCAGCTAGTTTTAAGTTATTATTTAACGTTTAATTTTAGGTAGATTTTTTGCATAGCACATTATTATCTCAACTCAAGGGTGATATTGATTTTCATTTCCAATCAATATAAATCTGTATTTCGTTTCTTTATTATGATCAACTTGTATTGTTAATAATTAACTAAAATACGTGAATGATAAAAAACAAATAAATTTATACGTTAAAATGCAAATGCAACTTATGTCAGGTTTTTATTTAGCTAGAATTATAATGATGAGGTGTTTTATATATATATATATATGTATATGTATGTATATAAATTATAATATTTAGATGAAGTTTGTTCCTTGTTTAAAACCTGTAGTAATAAACTACGGAATCCTACACGCCATTAGCCGTATTAGCCATTATTTTAATATGTAGATATATATCAGCAATGATGCGTATAGATGAGCAAAATGGGGTAAAGAAAGTTTTATGTAGTATGAGTGGAGGACGATCATGGAGAAGATGGATGGACTGCATAAAAGAAGAGGAGAATGGAAGAAGAATAAACTCGTTCCGCCATCCCCAAAAATATTTGGGAAAAGGGCAAAAAGTTGATAATGATATTAGAGTTTGACTCTTTAATTCGGAGTGATACCACGGCCTAACAGAAATAAATGTGCGAATCGTGCCGCGCCCAATGTAGGGTTCCGTAGTTACCCATCACTATAATGCGAACTATTACTTAACTAAATAAAAAATAAGACGAGGGCGTTTTGTTATTTCAAATTATAAACATTTCACATTAACGGTTGCGACGGCCTATAACATCGAATTAGTTGATAAAGCTAAGCTTAAGCTTTACTAATAAAGCCTACTCAGCTGTGATGGTTTTCCTTTTAAATTCGTTATAATATATGATACTACAAAATATTGTCTTTACAAACCATTATTATTTTTAAAAGACCTTTCAAACGACACCCCATTTCATGGGAATGGATGAATATCAAAAACAACATCCCCAATTTAAATCTATTAGAGGTACCCTAAGAAAATATTTTTCCAAATTTTGTTTTACCACTTTGCGATTAGTATGTTCATGCGAAAATACAGATTTTTAGCACTAATAGTCTGTGAGATATAGTGTAGAGACGAAACTATAAGGGTTCCATTTTTGTCATTTTGACTACGGAACCCTAAAGACGATGTTAACCAATTCTCCCGTAGTTTATCACGGAGTGAGTAAGGTTACCGGAAGAATAAAACCACCTTTCCCTAACTCTGCCGGCTTACATAGTGCAGCAACGCACTTGTCCTCAGAGTCTTCAGTCAGGTGTTTATGGACGGCGGTAATAGGGAATATGCATGTATTTTTTTTATTTTTTTTAACGATTCTACTAGTTATTACATTACCAAAAATAAATATAACACATCCGAAATATAAACCGTTAAGCAAAAAAAAAATTTATTGAAATCACTATCATTTTGGGGCAATTTGAACACGTCCATTTTAGCGCGCTTCTTTTTGTGACGTCAGATTACACTTTCAGACGAATTCGATGTCAACAACGGAGTGAAGTTCACAAAGTTTCTAAAAGTTCAAAAAGTGAGTGATAAAAATTAACTTATTACCATGGAAAGCCAATAAAAATTTATTATAAATATTGTGCCGTTCCTTTGTGCCCAAATAATATCAAAACTGCACCTGACAAAGTATATTCAGTCATTGTGTTGAGTCTTTCTACACGGGAATTTAATAATTTAACACTGAAAACGTATTAGTTATTAACTGAAAATGAAACAAATAATCACCAGAAACCAAAAATTACAAATACACACAACTTGTTGACACTCTTGACAGTGTAGGTTGACGTCACGTTTTATTCAACCAATAGCGTTGCGTTTTAGAAATTTGCGAGGGAATCTTAAACAAGCCAATTTTTGATGATTAAATTTCACTATTAAATCATAATAAATTTCAAAAATAATTGTATGGGTATCTTTTTTTAGCAATAAACATTACAAATAAAAATATTTTGTTCATTTTGGTGTCACGTGCATATTCCCTATTATTTACGTTCAGATAAATCCGTGTGGTAACGGTTTAAGAATACAGTGTATCACCACACTTATTCATCCCACGGGTGTCGTAAGAGCCGACTAAGGCAGTAAACTACGCAGGATAACAGCACTGCAAAAAAAGAGAAGGAATAACCAACACGTCTGGCCAGCGTGGTATAGGAAGCCCAAACCTTCTTTCTAAGGAGAAGCCTGCAATAGACTAGTAAAGGCTATTGATGATGATTGATAAACCCGTCGTTTGTTCCCAATACTATAAAAAAACTAACTCTCTGCTCTTAAACACTGCTATGCCTGCGTGCTCTTACTAAATGGTTGTAACAGAGAACAAAGTATCTGCAAAATCCTAAGAATTAAATTTAGGTATTTTGTTGTATAGGAGGGGAGCTCCCGCCGCCATCGCTACTCCGTCATAAGATCATCATCAAGAATAAGAAGAAACATCATCATCACCATAAAAAGGAAGATTCCGTGGCGTCGGAGGAAAGTGAGCCGCGGCCTGATCCCTTGCCTCAGGGCAACGGCGATGTCTCTACGGCTACGGTTTGTACTTTTATTGTTTCTTCATGTTATAATAGGATCCAAACGAGCAGACTGATCCTCAATTCTGCTATTTAAATATTGTATCAATAGACGGTCGATGGAATGTCATCGGAATAGTTTTGCACTTTTCGTATTCTACTATGTTAGACCAAATGGCCTCCCGATGACTTGTCACTGAACTGCCACTGATACAAATGTCGTCGATGTCTTTGATTTTTGATAATATATACATATATATTTTTGATAATAAAATTTGTAAGGAAATGATATATTTCATTCTTCAGATATGGCAATGTTGTTAATATCTCCATTGATGAGCTATTGTCACCACATCCAGTCTATTCACACTGTGAATTTATGTTAGTAGAATACCGATATTTTGACAGATGTTAAGGGCATCACAATGACATCTCAATAGCGTGTCAATATAATGATAGTGTTTGTACATTAACATAAGACAGCAGAATTGAGGACCTCACCTGACAGTAAGTGACTACTGCTGCCCGGATACATTGAATGCCTTAACAGTCACAAGTCAGTTGTGTAGGTTGAAAGATCGGTTTTAAATACATACACGGAGAGGATATATAATACATAGGGGTATATTTCCCACTCTAATTTGGACCCAGTCACGTAATAGATGGTAACCCTATACCCGTCGCATTATACGTTACCCTATTTTTTGTTATAATTCAAATATTCTTTACATTTTAAACATATAATTTTACGTAGGAAAAAGAAATCCTAAATTAAATTTTTAAATATTAATTACCGGTATAGGGTTATCCAACCTTATACCTCTCTAATTATCAGTTAACCTATTTTTTTTGTTATAATTCAAATATTCTTTCCATTACAAACATGTAATTTTACGTAGGAAAATCAGAAATTTAATGGCTATTAGTGGTAATAATTAAATTCTTATCGATTTTAAGTTATACTGTCATATGTATACTTGTAATAAGTATGTATATTTGTATTATGAAGTTATTGATAGCAGGCTATGTGAAATATTATGATTGGTCATTTTGTGGTTAGATAAGTATTTTTAATAATATTAATCAGCAGTGGTTCTGTTCGTGGTCAGATAAAATGAGTTGGATTATAGTATAGAATGTTTTGCATAATAATAGAAAATATATATATTTTTGTGACCACCTAGTGTGCCATAATTTCTGAAAATAAATAATTACCTAATTCGGGACATTACATCGACTTCATAACAAAAAAAAAATCTTAAACGTTGAATTATAAAAATTGACAATGTGGTCTACATTCGAATATTATTTGTAAATTTCATATATTTGAAATAACACACTAATAAAAATTATGAAGAAAGTAAAATAACAGGTATTATTCGAAATAGTTCACTACTCTACAATTTTATAGTAGTTTTTGTTCGCGACTTTGTTCGCGGTCGGTGATTTTCCTCATATTTTTTGAATGAAAAGTACCGTTTATCCTTTGTTGTATTTCTGCCATTACTGGCTAAGTGTATGTAAAGTTTGATAATAATCGGATCAGGGTATGGCAACGCATGAAATACGAGCAAACAAACAGTGATATAAGACTAAGGAGAGCCATACTTTGGCACAAATGGGACGGCTTGCCCGGTGGGATACCACGGCCTCACAGAAAGCCGGTGTTGAGCAATGCCTTCGTTGCTTTTTACCGTCATTCTTGGGGGCTCTAAAGTCGGCAGCACAGTTGTGTATGTGTCCATGGTCATTCAGAGGCCAGTTCAGAGCGAGTTGATGTAAAATAAACTTGCACTAGGCCCTCGGGGTCCCTTGTGCTCGTTTGCTCATTATATCTAAAAAAAAAAAGATTTTTAAAAAGAATCTGCTTTGTTATTTATGATAATAACTTTGATTATGAAGATGTGACATTGAATGCGTACTTGCATGTTTGCAGTCTGTTAAGATACCAAGCGTCTATCTTATTTCAAAATGTTCTATAATCAATATGTCGATTTATTGAAATCCCTTTTTGTATGTGTCTTATTGAATCTCAATTATTTATACGGGTCTAATATTTCCAAGTTTGTTTGCTTAAAAAATCGGTTAAAAGCCTAAATTACTCACTCATCATTGATTACAATCCAATGGCATGCTAATTTAAATATTTCGCCACATTCTAAAATCAACACTTATACCAAAATCGAGACCCTTTGTGTGGTGTGTAGACTACACAACTGGAAAGTATGAAGAGGAGAAAAAAAAAACAAAATAAACAAATAACCATATTCATTTGCCTGCAGCTGGCCCGTCAAGGTTCCTCGGAATCGTCTGATTCTGATAGCTCGTCCGGCGAAGAGGAGGCGGGTGGTGTGGACAGCGCTGTGGGAGAAGACGCGCGCGAAACTCACGCCGGCGCCGAAATCTCTGCGCTCGTCAACTACGTGCAACCAGTACACTTCAGCTCCTTCGAAAACTCTGAAAGTAAGTTGGACACTCACAATATTTAATCATTTACAAATTATGCCAAATATACGTGACATTTGCGATGAATGACTGACAGTTGATTGCCGATGAGTGACTGCCTCGGTGGTGCACTGAAAGCGTATGCGACTGCTGTGCTCAGATCTCGGGTTCGATTCCCGGGTCGTACCAAATGTTTGCTTCGGAGTTTGGGTGTTTTCTATGTATAATATGTATAAATTTACAAAAAAAGGATATAAGTATTCTATCAGTCAATCTAGCTTTCATAGTACAAGCTGTGCTTTTAAACTAGATGGCGTTGTGTCAGATATTAAAAAATATTATTATTAATAGGTTAAACGAACCTCCTATATATAGTTCGTAAACAAGATGTAAAACAGACGTGTGCTTACATTTTGGGATCTGGAACATCCGAGTATGCTTATTCCCTTGTAAAAAAATAAAAATTGACATTAAATTGAATATTAATAAGCATTATTTAGAAAAGTGCGGATTGAACCGAAGGAAAAGGATTTTAGAAAAAACCATTAAAACATTTGTCTATAAAAAAATCGATTCGTGCAACGAATTCCAGTGAATAACTCGATATATGTATTTCGATATAATATGCTTTTACAGAAACATGCTTCATATTTAAGGGTACTTAAATATGAAACATGTTTCTGTAAAAGCATATTATTATGTATTCTCATTAGTTAGTTGTGTACTAACAACTAATTTACGAATATTGTACAGAGAAGAACCGCTTCTACGAGATGTCATCTTTCGATGAGAAGCAAGCGACTACACTGTTAAAAGAGCGACCGATCGAATTCGTCAACTACAACAAGCATCAGCTATCCAGAGTGTATCCCGCTGGCACTAGATTCGATTCCTCTAACTTCATGCCGCAGGTAAATATATCGAATATTAATTAATAATTTTTTTAAATCGGACACAAAAATGAGGGACGTTTGTTGTGTCTGCGGGAGTCTCTGTGTCTATGTATCGTATATGTGACATCATAATTATCTCCTAAACGGATAGACCGATTTTGATTGAAGTTTTCTTATTAAAGGGTGACGTTATCGGTAAGTTAAATCGAAGAAAACGGTTCAAACGTTGATAAGGTCTTTTTAATTGTGATTTTTAGTCAGGAGTATTTTTAATTTATTCTTATGTAAATAGACCTTTTCACGCCCTTTTATAAGTCAGTAAATTTAAATGGTGCCAACTGATATATTATATTCGTTGTGTAGCACAGTAATTTTAAATCTTCATCAACAGCCTTTAATAGTCCACTGCTGGACATAGGCCTCCCCTTAGAAAGGAGGTTTTTTAAATCTTAGTTAAAATAATATATTAGAATTGTTTTGTAAATAAAATAATTTGAATCTTACCGCAGCATAATCACATATATCGATAGATTATCAAATAATCGAGTAGGTCATTATAAAGTGATTAGGTGTTATCGATTAATTTCTCAAGTACGATCTGGTTTATTTCTTTGATGGTGTGAGAAAATGACCAAATCATATTTGTAGTTTTCCAAACGACGTGCTGGGCCGGGTATGTGTATATACACAAGCTAAATGCATACTGGCCTGTTGGTCCAATGGTAAGTTTGATTGCTAACCAGGACAAATAATTGTGTGATGAGCACGAGCATTTTTTCTGTGTCTGGGTGTAATTTACTTAGATGACCGCTTTGCTCGGTTTTTTTTTCGTAAATTTTCTAAAAATGATATCCAGCTATATCGATTAATCGCCCCCGAAACCCCCTGCATACTAAATTTCATGGAAATCGTTGGAGCCGTTTCCGAGATTCAGATTATATATACCAGAATTGCTCGTTTAAAGGTATCAGATATAACTATGTTGTTTGGTTTGGTAGCCTTGTGTGAGATAGGTCAAAATATTATTATTGTTAGTAAAATAGATTTAAAAAAAAAAACAGATTCTATCATCATCATCATCATCAGCCTATCGCAGTCCACTGCTGGACATAGGCCTCTCCCATTGCACGCCACTTAGATCGATTTTGATTCTATCGATTCACTTCAAAATTGATATAGCTCTTCTGTCGGGTCCGTGACTTATTTTGCATCCCCCCTATACTTATATACATAAATAAAACCGTTAATCCCTTAGATCACATACTATTTACTTACTTTAGTCAGACACAGACTGAAATAATAAGGTCTTTTTCTTTCTTCTAGGAATTCTCAGTAGGTAGTAATGCTCTATTATTTTACGAAATATGGGTATCCATATTATTACCATGACGGGATATTGATTTAAAAAAAATATGTTCTTGAGTATGTAAATGTTAAGTCTCTCTGTGAGAAAAAGTCACAAAGAACTTTCCGTTGTAATATACAGGCACTACTCTCTCATGGATTTGGTTCGACCGTAGTGATACCTTACACAAAACCGGTGTTGAGTAATAGTTTACCGAGTGTTTGAGGGTACCAGAAGTTACGCGGGAGTGGGTATTCATCAACATCATCATCATCAACTGCCTTTAATAGTCCACTGCTGGACATAGGGCTCTCCTTAGAAAGGAGGTTTTAGCCAACTCGCGCGCACACGCTGTGGTCATTCATAGCTTCAAAAAGCCTATACCTACCAGAAAAAATATTAGAATAACCGAGGGATATAAAAGGCGTCTAATAACCTTTGAAACACGAAGTCTAACTTTACTAGACACTATATTTATTGTGGACTGCGCTAGGCTGATGATGATGAGATTTATGACAGTTCAACTTCAACGACCATTGGTCCAAATACGACCAAAAGTAATAATTTTTTTATTTTTCATAATTTAGGTGTTTTGGAACGCGGGATGTCAACTGGTTGCCCTCAACTATCAAACATTGGACTTAGCAATGCAGCTCAACTTGGGCACGTACGAATACAATCGACGGTGTGGTTATTTACTCAAACCTGAGTTCATGAGAAGGAAGGTGAGTGAATGTTAATAACATTTAAAAATAGCAGACGCAGACTAGCAGACGGTTCACCTGGTGGAAAGCGAACATCGCCGCCTATGAACGTCTGCAAGGAGCCTGCCTGCTCAGGAGTCAAAAACGCGTTGCCGGCTTTTTAGGAAGGAGTACGCTCTTTTCTTGAAGGTTTGAAAGTCCGGACCGGAATTACCGCAGACGATAACCCGTTCCACAGATTGGTTGTGCGGGGCAGAAAGTGTCTCGAAAAGCGCACAGTAGTGGAGCGCCAACGATCCAGGAGATGAGGATGAAATTTTGTCGTGTGGAACAATGGCGGAAAGTTGCGGCTTTTATTAGACCGAACAATTCCTCGGAGCACTCTATATGGTATTTAAACGTTGCACAGAGTGAGTGAGGAGCCCTCCCTATAATTCGAGTCGGGAGTCTGGTCGACAATGCACTTGTGACTCTTTGAGTTGCGGGTGTTTATGGGCGGCGGTAGTCACTTACCATCAGGTGACGAATCTCAACCATCCCCCCCTATCCAATAACAAAAATGGAAGATAAATTGCACTTTGACAGCTTAGACCGCAACTCATACACATAGCCCAATCTCACTTTTTCACCTTTTTTCTACTCTAGTTGATACTGGCCCGTACGACCACAGTACCATTAACACTATTCTTTAAGTATCTCTATTTCAGGACCGTCGCCTTGACCCATTCGCCGAGAGCACAGTGGACGGCATCATCGCCGGTACACTCTCCATAACAGTACTCTCTGGCCAGCTGCTCACCGACAAGCGATGTGGCACTTACGTCGAAGTGGACATGTTTGGTCTTCCGGCCGACACTGTGCGTAAGAGGTTCAGGACAAGAGTTGCGCCGAACAATGGCATCAATCCTGTGTACGGGGAGGAACCTTTCGAGTTTAAAAAGGTAAGCTACTTTAGTATGTTTGTTAAGAAACTATATATACTCTTCTTCCTAGTCTTTTCTCCCAAACTAAGTTGGTGTCCGCTGCAAGTCCGCTACGATACGGCTAAACCTCGGTTTTTTTCATGCGGAGCGATTTCAATCTGACCTCCATAACCCAAGTATCAAGCGATATTGAAGTTCTGTAGAAAGACTGTTGTGGGACTTTTTAGGGCTCTAACTATAAAATAAAATAAATAAATAAATAATGATAACTACCCGTAACGATTGCCGCAAATGTTCAGAATGCAACTGGAACCCACAGCTTAGCGTGCTCTCAGAGGCAGACCGACAGCTTAACGCGGAGAACCCTTTCGGAGGGTTCTCAATATGTAAATAAATTGTCACCCATCCATAGACTGTCCAGGTTAGGATTGCTTTGCTCCACAAGCTCCTGTAAAAAAAAAGAACTGTGAACACTATTTACTTTTACTTAAACTACTATTTACTTTTACTATTTACACTATTATTTACTAAATACTTTTTTATTGAAACCAGTCCGAATAAGTAAGTTATAAGGAGTTTAATATCACACTAGGGCATCGAATACCGAATAGTATAAATAGACTGCTCGATCTTGAACGCGACGAAACTGGAATTTTTAAATATTGATGGAATATTTCTCTGACAAACCTACTTGCAATTCTCGTATATTTTGAATAAATGTACTATTTTAAATATAAAAATATATACTTAATATATAATAAGACTAAAAAGATTTTTGTTTGGCGCTTGTTTAAATGCGTTAATCTCTGGATCTACAATATCGGATTCGTACATTCGTAAAGATTTCGTAATCCTTTAGTATTGAATAAAATATGTTCATCGAGGATAGTAAGGTAGGCTATTTTACATTTAGCTACTACCTTAAGGTACGAGGGATCAGCTAGTCATATACATAAGGCAGCAGGCTGGTAACCATAGTACAGGCTCTGCCTAGATTTTGTCTCAGCCTGATTGCACAGACGGCGTAGTGATTTAAGCGGTCACCTCGCCGCTTTCTACTAAGTGCTAAGTGTTGTGGGTTCCATCTCCACATAGGACATTACTTTGTGTGATCTCCAAATTGTTGTCCTCAGTCTGGGTGTTCTTTGTGTCCGTTTCATGTATGTTTGTAAAGTCCCTCGCCACATAGAATTATATTCCTAATGCGGGAGTTGTCTTTAATAAGACAAAGAGAGTTTGGGATCAGACTGCCTTGTGTGAGATGTGTGAAGTTATTATTATTATAATCAATTGAAGCTTATGCCTCATACGTCTCATACGAACCATCATTCATGCACATAGTCTTATGTTTTACAGAAGTATAATAGTGTCTGTTCAAACTGTCGAAAAAATGATATTTATTTAGTCAAGCGTCAATTACAGAAGTAGATAAGTTTACTTAAAAGAACTATAAACACATTAAAAGATCTATAAAAGATTTTATATCGTTTATTGTTTTTTTATTGCGTATTCAGATATTAAAGTTCACTATTGAAAATACGTTTCGTGAGATGCACAAGACTTGTTAATGGTTAAAGTAAACCACTAACGTACATTTATCAATCTGCAAAGCGTTCATAGTTCAACAAATTGTACACTACTTTAAACAGATACACGAATGTGATTATTATTATTGGCACTTGCCAATTCTAATAAAACTTCAAATAAAATAGCGGTGTTAAGTACAAAATAAATGTATTAGATAATAAAAATAGTTATAAAAGATGTTGAAGTAAGAGTACACTTTTTAAATTTAGAATCTTCTTCTTCATAAATTGCAAAAAAATTTAGAATCATTTTTTTTTTTTTTTTTTTTCGTGCAAGTGGCAGCTTTGTGATTTGACAGCTGTCACCTATGTTTATTCCGATTATTAAATGGAGTGCTTTTCAAAAGAACAACGTGTTATAATTGTGTATAAATTGTAATGAATAAAAATGGGAAAGTTACGCTGAAACCGCTCGCAAACTTCGACAAATTTTCAGTCCAGAAAGTGCACCTAATGTGTCAAACATTGGAAGAGTCAAAAAATTTGAAGAAACCGGGTCGATTATGTATATTAAAAATCCTTTGCGTCAACGTACCGGTCGGTCTCTTGAAAACATTGCTAATGCAAAGCACCGGCAATTCGTTCAATGGGTAATGGAGCAAAGTGAAGTCGATGCCAATTTTTCGAAAAAAAAATATCTTCTCCGATGAAGCGCGTTTCCATATGAATGGTTACGTAAATACACAAAATTGACGAATTTGGAATTGATTCAGAAAATCCTCATGCAATCCATGAGAAACAAATGCACCCATTTGCATGAGGATTTTCTTTATTTTCTTTGTGTCAATTTTGTGTACAACGAGCAACTGTCTGGTGCGGATTTTGGTCAGGAGGTATGATTGGACCTTAGTTTTTTGAAGATGAGGCCGAAATTCCAGTGACTGAACGGCATTCGTTACAGGAATATGATAAAGGAGTTCTTGTGGCATCAACTGGACGGCATGGATCTGGACAACATGTGGTTTCAGCAGGACGGCGCCACCTGCCACACCGCGCATTAAACAATCGACTTATTCCAGCAACGATTTCCAGAACACATTATCTCACGTAATTCCCTATTAAATTTTGCCCGGTCCGGGAATCAAACCCGCGGCTTCATGGACTGCAGTCGCGTACTGTACTACACCACTAAAGCAGCGCTATTCTAATTCCACGCGAACGAATTCGCGAGTACAAGCTGGTTATAAATAAATTCAAGTGACTTAAACGAAATACACTATAACAATAATAATATCGGTAGTCTTCGCTTTTGGATTATTTATGCAGACAATTTTTATTGTAATAAATTCAAGTCACGTTTGCTAATGCTAAAACAAATGTAGTTTCAGTAAAAATATATATATATGGTTAATTTATTTTAAAATACACATAAAAGCCTCTCTGATAGACGAGATTTATTCAAATGAAGCCTTCAATTAATATTAAAGAATTGCAAAATTATACAGGACAAATATGTATTTACTAAATCGCCATATTATTCATAAAAATATTCATGTAACATACGTTCACGTATAATTGTGTAAAATAAATGTGTAAAACATCATTTAAATATTTTTTATCGTCTTTATAAAACATCTATATTTAAAAAATAATTTAATAATGTTGAAGGCAAGATTTATAACTTAGAGGCAGTTAGTATAAACATACCGCAATTGGCAAGAAGAGGAACACCGGGGTGGTTTTTAGTCGGTAAGAGTCCGACAGATTTCTTCGCCAACCCGGCGAAGGACATACATGAGGATCTTTCATCCCGTTACCAAAATAAAAATACATACAGATAAAGAGAGATGAAGTACTTTACGTTAGCATTACGAATATATTCATTTTTGGAACGAAGTTCCTTATCGCGCGTTGTGAAAGGGGGCTAGACGGAAAAAAGTCTTTCTCCGACCGTGTGGTGAAGAATTAAGAATACAGAGTGTCACTACCCCTATTTATCCCGTGGGTATCGTAAAGCAGCAAACTACACAGGACAACAGCACTGCAAAGAAATGAGAAGGAATACTTGAAAGAAACCCTATACCATCCCGTCTGGCCAGCGCGCCAGCGAAAACCTTTTTTCTAAGGAGAAGCCTATGTCCTGCAATGGACTATTAAAGGCTGTTGATATCTGTAGAGTCCCATTAATCACTAAGACGCCCTGATTGAAAATGACTTATTAAAAAAAACTTTTTTTCGTACATTTTAACTTTTATTCTTATTCAATTGAATTTAAGAGAAGCAACACCATGGTAAAGGACCTAACCACGTGACTTTGAAACAAAATTTGAAAAATAAATCTATTATTATTATAAAGTTATTTTGCTTTGTTTCAAAGATTTCAATTGCAATTTAGTCATTAAGAATTGTACATCTTGTAATAAAATAAAAATTGCTTCATAATTCTATGGTTTTACAGAAAAGGTTATGGAAATTGTGTGAGTTACGCCTGTATAAAGTTGTTTCGTCTTGTAAAGTATGAAACGGCAAACGGTACCTCTTAGATTAGATGGACTATAGACAACTGATATAATCCATCTATACTTTTTTCGTAAATACATTCATATATTTTATAAATAAATACCCAGACCAAATCAAATATTAAATGCTCATGCACACAAATGTTTGACTTGAGACAGAATCGAACAGTCAACCTTTAGCATAGCAGTTTGTCACACAAACTCCTACGCCATCTGACCGTCAAAACCAACCAACTAAACCAACGACTAACGAATAATTTAAAATGGTTGTTTCGTTACGTTGTATGTAGGTGGGAGGGTATTATTTACCAGCTAAATCCCTCTATAACCTACTTAAAGACCATGGATTGCCAAGAGCTACAGTAAACTCTTTTCTTGAACGAATTTCTAAAGCGGCATTGTTAGGTACATATCATGGGTAGGTAGAGGAGTCGCATAGAGTACTCCCTAAATCTACTCCTTGGTCGTAAGTCGCAGGCGCTGTCGCAGTCGCATGTGTAGCCCCCATCTATCATGCGATAGACCCGGTACCCGCACAGTGAATCCACGGAACGCTAAGAAATAGGTATATTGCTTAAAATAGACACATTACAATATAATATAATAATGTCATCACTTAGTGCCTTTTGGCCACCATCATAGTCCAAATGAGTTACAGATAAGTTCACTTTAGAACAACGCAATCGGCGCCTTTAATTTACACATCACACGAATTGAAATAACATAACTTGTGATAATTGCATACAATGTATCACTCACTGATACGACTAATTCACACGCCAACGATTCCTTTGAGACCGGCATATGGTGCTTGTCACTTTACGATATGTGTTTACAAGTGATGTGTCTGCGATGCGCCGGCGCCGGCACAATGGAATTTGGCGAGTTTCGTTTTATGTGTGTATGGGTTTGGGGAATGAATGACTCGATCCGGCTGCATGGATGATCTAATGGTATGCTCAATGTGCTATTGTGTACGCTAAGTTTTGTGAATTTGATTTTTGTACCAAGCATTTATTGGGATACCTAATAAACATAGAACAAAAATTTTTTTTATTCGCGAGCGTTATTTAATGATATAAACAAAAACCTGAAACTTGAATTTTTCCATGTCTATGTATAGGAAAGATGAAACAGATTAGTTTTTTCCTATTTTGGTGATCTTGTTTTGTTTAAATGAGTTGGAAAATGAATGATGATAAATTGCTGCCAACGAATGACTGTAAAGTATTAACGGGAACTGCTATAAATAGAGGTATTTTAGTTCCGCGAGTTATTCACAGTTCCTGCTTCCATTTCGATATCAAAGAGCACAGTTTCTGGTAATACATTTGTTGTAACCATAAACAAATGGGAAGGTCGAACATTTATTATATTTTTTCACATGGACACATTACATTGTTTCTAGTAGAAACCGATTATTTGATTGTAAATAATTTATACTTCTAATGGCAATGCATAAAGGTTACTTACTCTATAATAATAGATTTACCCAAATAATTTTGTCTGTGAAGATTTTAAAAATAATATTTGATTGAAGAAATGATTAAGTTATTTAATTACCACTTTAATTTTATATTTCTGATTATTTCAAGGTGGTACTGCCAGAATTAGCAATAATCCGCATAGCTGCTCACGAAGAAAGCGGTCGGTTGCTGGGTCATCGAGTGTTGCCTGTGGTAGGGCTATGTCCTGGCTATCATCACGTCAACTTGCGTACCGAGTTGGGTCTTCCTCTTGCCGCTAGTCTTTTGCTCCTTGTCGATGTTAAGGTAAGCAACTTATTTATCTCAGATAATTACTAGATTAATATTTTAATAATACTTAATAATGCTTCAAGTTTTTTTTTCTTATGTTAGTTTATCGTCGTGGCGATTTATAATCTGCATTAGGATTAGATTAACTTAGTGGATAATAAACCAAGTCGAGTCTCCCAAGTCAAGTCAAATGAATTATTCCAGCCTCCAGTAGTAAGAAGAAATTCATCATTCGTGCGAAGAGTTCGCCTATGTACCGGAAATTTTGGAAGAAACGGTTCACGTTTCCGGTTATGGTCTATAAATGGATCTAGATGATTTTTATCTATAATAATTACACAAAAGATGTAATTTATCAAAGAGGTCTGAGAAAAAGGTATGAAAGGTTTGAGGGGCAAACTTGTGAGTTAAACGTGATTGCTGCAAAATTGTGCTGGCAACATTCTTGAACTACTGCGATCTAACGACGTACCCCAATTATGGATCCCATATACTAATGCTTAAATGAAGTCCATTATAAGCATATTAAAAAGAAGCATGCACTGCTCACTCGCTATAAAGAACAAGAAGAATCGATGCTGGCCACGCCCTAGAATGTCAAGTAAAGTCAACAGTGAATTAACTACGATTAATCCGGCTTTTAACACCGACTTGTATGTGATGTCATTAGGAAAGACGTGTGTGACGTAGACTAATAAAAACTGTATAAAATGTACTGATTGATTGTTCTATATTGTCTATGCATAGTAAGTAACGAATCGCTGGGCATTTTCATATTAATAAATGGGTATACTAATACAATTTTATAATAATTAGAGTTCAATAGCTTGTTTTAGTACACAAATGATTGCTTGTCCGTGGTTTATCTTATATTTTATCAAAGATTTTAAGATTTGGGGCAGATGTTGTGTAATGTATTGTACTGCGTGTGCTAAGCGCGACAGCTATGTGTGACATCTATATTAATTAGGACTTTAGAGGCAACTTGGCTAGTAAATGACTGCTTAGGTAGCCATGTCCCTAAACCAACCCGGCCAGAAAATCTGGTCATCTTCCCACGACTTGTAACTTACCTGTCTTTTAGAAAACAATATAATTTGGTTCACTTTACAACTGCTTTGATAGACGTCAATCTTTTTAATTATGAAAACCTGAAGAATCAAAATAATAATGACAGTTTTCCCCAGTTAATAAATCGATCAGCAATTGAGAATATGCTTAAGTTGGTAAATTTACTAAGAACAAAGCTATGCGTTTTACTATGAGAAGATTTTCACTGAGTTTATTTCATCGTCTCCATCAATTAATATAAAATCGTAATATCTTCAAAATTATATCAGACATTATTATTTAATTACACTTTTTTTTGTAGGATTACGTGCCTGATCGGCTGTCGGAACTAGCTGAAGCCTTAGCGAACCCCATTAAGTACCAGAGCGAGCTGGATAAGCGTGAACACCAGTTATCTGTGCTCACTGAAGATACGGATGTGCCGACGGCTGAAGCCAAGAAAACCAATGAAATTGAAAGGACCGACCGACCAGTTGCCCATCCTGTAAGTACAGATGGCATAGTGAATTAAGGGGTTACCTGCTGCGCTGAGTGTTGTGGGTTCGATTCCCACATGGGACAGCACTTTGTGTGATCCACAAATTGTTGTTCTGAGTCTGGGTGTTTTTTTTTGTGTCTGTTTCATCTATGTTTGTTTTAAAAAAATTAATTTAACACACTTAGTGGTAAAATATATTGTTTAATATTAAACGGAACGATCTTTGTAAGAACTAATTCAATAAAAACAGTAATGCTAATTGTAACAATTTCAATAATGATTTTAATACGTGAAATTATTACATAGCTTACGAGAACGCATCTATTATATTATTATATGTGAATAAGAGATGAGAAAATAAAATTAGACTCAGTCTGAGTTCGATGTTATTGTAGTATAAATATTAATTAATCTCTACAGATTAAATTTGATAAAGAAGATGGCCCTGAAAGCAGCAGTCCCCGTCGGGACCTCGCAAACGAGACTATAAATTTAATAGAACACGAAATGCAAGCCCTCCCGCCTCAGCCACAAGAGAAACCCTCACACGGTATGACGTCACCACTCTCTATACTCAAGTCTTTAGTTCCGTGGAGTAAGTAAGTCTTCTTCTCTCTTTTCAACATTATTTTGGAGTGTCTAACATGAGCCAACTAACTGTGAGTGTATTGCCTCGAGCTGTGTTTGTGACCTTGTAGATAATGATTCCTACTTAAACCCCGCTATTCGGCATGTGAGCTTATTTTTTTTTTCGTATATGATTTTATAAGACATAGTTGTCTGGGTAATGAAAATATTTAAGTGCAGCTGATGCTGCCAACGCATCTTGATAAAAATAGTCTCTCAACATAAAATAACCAACTTTTATGTTGAGAGACTATTTTTTGGCATTGGCATTCTATGAATGTGGTGTCGGGTGTGTTTGCTTTTGTTTATCGTTAAGCGATGTAAAAGTTATAACGTCGGAGAGAATTGGATATTTTGTTTTATGACATACATTATTCAAAAATTTAATTATTAATAACATACTATTGGCGATTTACAGCTATTATGATCAGAATAAAAGCAGTCAAGAAAACAGATAGCCAGAAATATTAAAAGTTTAGGCAAATACCTTAAATAGTGCTACATGCTGTTCTAATCTAAAAATGCAAGCTGCCGTAATATTGCATCGTAACTCCCATAGCGAAGTGTCTACAAGTATAATTTCTGAAACTTTGGAAAAAAATATTCTTTCCATGTCTTAAGTGTTACCATCGACACCGATTTCATCTACCAAGAATAAGATCTTTCATCCTAAGAAACTTTCGAATTTTGTCCTGCCACTGACTATTAGGTAAAAAAAAACGAATTTTTAATAGCAATTTTGTCCTGCCACTGACTATTAGGTAAAAAAAAAAACGAATTTTTAATAGCAATTTTGTCCTGCCGATTTTTTTACGATTTTTATAATTTACTGCCTGGATGACGACATGAAATACCATGGCAGGTGCTCATCACATTATTATATTTGTTCTGGGAGGAAAAATAACTATGTAATCAGCAAGGGTGGAAAAGAAGTGGAGAATTCAATCCAAGACTGATTCTCTTGTTCTACAGTTAAAAAAAAGCTTGAAGATCTACCAAACACATTTTGTACGTGCAACACAGGTTGTTGAGATATAGTTGAGATTTCACAAGATTTTAATAGAATTTACTCTGGCCCTAATTTTATTTTAGTGTGAGTAGGTAGGCATGTTTGGTAATAAAAGCTTATTAAAAATATTGTTCTGATTGGCGATTGTATTGTGTTCTTTTTACTATACAGTAAGCTAATAATACTAAAGTAAAGAATGCCTGGTGGTTTATTTTCGCCCGTAATTCAATAATGATATGGTTTATTTTACTGGCCTATACGACTTAACTGACTTAACTGTCAGTACATAGACTAACGTATAGTCAGCCTTATAAAGAAATCTACATGAACAAAGTTCTGTTATAATTTGTAAATTCAGTTTGGCAAAACGTTATAATCGATTACAGTGACTAAACAAAGTAACTTGCCAATTCCATTGGGTTCATATTTCTAAATGTGTCTATTTTATAAGTTTGTAAAGATTTTTGTAAGCCAATAAGTACACAAGCTGGCAAGTTTTATACGGATACTGTTTAATAACGACGTATAAAAAAAAGGTTTAATTAATTCCCTGTACAGTTCACAAAAATAATATAGTGGGTACTCCGATATTACTCATAAAAAAATACTAAACTTAACATCCGCTTTTCTGAGTGGACTGTAAATAGAATTAAAAAGGAATATTTGCCTTCTACGTTGTTTGATTTGTTGTTTGATATGTATATGTTTACTGAAGAAGTAATTAAATTTATTTACAATATGTCAAATATCATCATCATATAGCAGTACACAGCTGCACATAGACCACTCCCATTGCACGCCACTTAGATAGATTACTTTTGTCTAATATGGTGAATATTAGTAGAAATATGTATGTATCACTTAAGTTCGCTCGTCTAATTATGACGCAGTAGTTAAAAAATTTTTTAAATAATATTATTCGATTGGAAAAAAATAAAAAATAAGAACTAAAAAAATGTTTGAATAGAAAATGAATTTTACAGAAGCAGAAAGCAAACCCAACGGTACATCGGATGAATCCTTAGAAGAGACGTTAGAAGGGCTACTCTCATCAAAATTGGTTCGCGACAAACAAATGAAGTTGTCGCGAGAACTCGACACGCTCCGACGCAAGTACGACAAGGAAAAGAAACCCAGCTCGAAGTTCTACGTCAGCAAAAACTTGGTGAAGAGATTGTCTGCTAAACAGATGTAAGTGCTGAAGAGTATACTGTTCTATGTTCATAATTAATAATAATAACTGCAAACATCTCACACATGGCCGTCTGATGCCAAATTAGGCAGAGCCGGTGCTATGGTAACCAGACTGCTGATAAATATACTTACATATTTCTAAATACATACATATCACAAATTACACCCAGACACAGAATAAATCATCGTGCTCATTACACAATTATTTATCCTGAGTGGGAATCGAACCCACGACCTCCGGCTTAGCAGTCAGGGTCACTAACCACTAGACCAACAAGCCCGTCATACTTATTTTCCATACCGTAATTGCAATACGTTGTGACGTATGATACATGTTAATATAATATATTATTCATCGTCTTATTCGTAGCGAAATGAGCTTAGAAAAAAAACACATTTAATATCTAACTATGACGAGATTCAAATTAAATATCCTATAATCTATTAAATACTTCAGAACTGGATGACCTTGAGTCTTAACGTTTTATGATTTGAACGTTCTTTAAATTTAAAGGAATTTTAATATTTAATAACTTTCAACATATATAAATAAAAAATGTGTTGGTCAGCAGTGATGCGACCCCTAGCACCGACGACGGGAACACGACGGAAGGGTTCAGTACAGCGTTGATGGCCGAGCGTGAGCTGCGCCTGCGCTACCACCACCAGATATATGCGGCCTTGGAGAAACACGTGCGCAATGAACAACAGCATCAGATGAAACTATTAGCGGTAAGTACTACGTATTCTGGTTAATACCCAACTGTTTTGCTTATTTTCAATAATAGATTGAGTAGAGTCAGAAGAAAATCGATTTCTATTTCGGGAAGGGAAGGGAGGGACCGTAATTAATATGTTTTTTTTTTTGTAAATGAATAATTGCAAAAAAATCATAGGCTACTAACTAAACATTAAACGTTAAATAACTTTAATCGTCTCTAACGATGATGTCTTAAATAATTATTGTTTAAATAATTTTGTTCCAGTGTATTTTGATTTAGCTTACGTTTTACTCGAAAGAAACACTCAAAATCCTCTCAAAATTTGTTAAAAAAATAGGTTATGTAATGTTTCTATTCAATTCTATCATTGTCATTTGGAGCTCAAGCGAAAATATTTAAAATAACGATAATGCTAACCGAAATTTTGAAAACTTGCATTCAGAAATTTTTTACAATGCATCATAAATAAATGAAAGATAATTCAAAACTATATAGTTGTATAAGTTATAAATAAATAAATAAAATAAATCTTAGATTTCTTAGAAGTTAGTATACAAAAAAATGATTTTTTTTAGGATTCCTTAGAAGTGGAAAAGAAAGAAATTCTGAATAGGCTGGCAAATTCAAGAAAGGAGGATGTCAAAGCGTTAGCGAAAAAGACCAATAGAGACAAGGACGAGATCAATAGAAGAAAAAGGGAGATACATTCACATGTATGTTTTAAATTGTTTTTTATTTTCACTTATATAATTTTTAAACATCTTTGCGTTGTATTATTGGTCCAATGGCGGTCAGTTATCTTGACTGGTAAGTCAGAGGACCTGGGTTCGATACCTGCCTGGGACAAATAATTTTGATGTGCACGATTATTTTTCTGTGTTTGGTGTGATTTATCTATAAAGTGTCTTAAATTTAGTTATATTGTTTTTAAAAGATAGCTCTCATATTAGGAATATATCCTGTGTCGTGGGGATTTAACAAATATACATGAAACGGCCACAAAGGACACCCAAGCTCAGAATAACAATGTGAATTACGAAGTGTTGTCCCATATGGAGATCGAATCCACAATTCTCATAGGCAGCGTCGAGGTGACTACTACTTCATATATGTGTATCGGCAGTCTGGTTACCACAGTACAGGCTACGCTAGATTTGGAATCATACGAGCGTCGAGATTATTATCTATACTTAATATTATAAACGCGAAAGTGTGTCTGTCTGTTGCCTCTTCACGCTTAAACCGCTGCACAGATTTAGATGAAATATAGAGATGCTTTGAGTCCCGATGAAGGATTTTTTATCTCAGAAATCATCTCTTAAGGGGGTGAAAAGGGGGTGTGGAAGTCTGTATGTGGAACGAATAATAGCTTAAGCGATTTAGATGTGATTCGGTGCAGAGATAGATGAGAGATAGTTGAGGAAGGACATAGGGTACTTTTTACCGCGATAATCGACATAGACGCGGGCGAGGTAGTTGCATAAGCCGGTGAGGTATATGTGTAACGGCGGGCCTGTCCCCAGTCGGTGGCGCGGGGCGTGGCGGAGTGTTGCCGCGCGGAGCAGAAGTACGGCGCGCGCCGCGAGCAGCTCGCGCGCACGCACGAGCGCCTGCTGCAGCTGCTGCTCAAGCACCGCGACCAGGTAACCGCCGCGACAGAACACGCCAGTCTCGTCACGCGCGTCACGCGACTCTGAACCCACACCATACATACTGGGATGATGATGATGATGATGATGAAACTACTATATTTTGTTTTTGCAATCGCCAGTAGATTTTAAGAATTCGTGAATAAAAAACATACTCTTATACTTGACTCGAGAATAAATTATAAATATATGATGACCCCTAATCGATATTAACAAATTTTCTTATTTTTTTAAATTACAAAATTAGGTTATATTATAAGAAAAACATGTAAACACATCATGTAACGGCCAACTCGTACCGGGTACGGTCAAGAGCAGCAAACGCACTTGTGTTCTTCTAGCAGGTATGGATAGGCGGCAGTCATATTTTATTTTATTTAATCTTGAATTTTTATAATGAATATCCACCTTTTTTAAAAGTGTTTTGTTACTTTAAATTGGTTACAATTAAAATTTGTTTAAAAAGCAAACAGAAAGAATATATAGGTAATATAGATATCTTTTATGTTCTAGGATTTATAGATTCGCAAAAAAATTGTCATCAATATCATTCCTCATAACGTTACTTCTTATACTTTCAAAATTCATCATCAAATAAATTCATAATTCATAAATATACACATTTGTGTAACTAAAAATGGTTATGGTAACCATACATATGCATGTTAGATTCACAATATTGTATTTATATTTAAACAAAATTCAATTTTATCGACTACGGAATTGGAATCAATATCGCAGCAGTATCGACCGTTTCGTCATCGGATCATTTACGTGCATACAGGTATGAAACTACTGGTCATCGCCCATAGGGCTTTATTTATTCTTTTTTTATAAAAGGTGATTTTAAATGAATTTCAATTGGGTATGAATGAATAATGACAATGTAAGAAATAATGTTATGACTATGAAAGTTATTCCTCAAAAGTTTTAGCCATAAATAAAGAGGAATAAGTAAAAGAAACACATACTTCTGCGAGGTATCGTCAGAAGTTCGAAGCTACAAAGCCGTGTCTGTTGTCGACAGGAGTTGTTGGAGTTGGAACGTATGTGCGGAGGGGCGCCGGAGGGCTAGGTGCCGCGGGGCGGCGAGTCCCCGCTGTACTGCACCGTGCCGTTCCGTACGTAGGCGCCGTAGCCTGTGTCTCGCCTCGGGCGTAGTCTCTCGTCGAGCATTCAGCAGTTTTGTTTAGGAATCTGTGATATTATCGCCTAAGGAGCACATCGCCGAGTCTCGACAGTATTCTCTACGTTCGCAATCTCATAGTTTTAGTTCACCGTTTACCCCGTCCCCGCCGGTCGATATTTGAGCTCCGCGTGTGAATATTTCTCGTTAAGATTATCCCTGTCGTACCTCTATCGCAAGAAAGTATGTCCTGGGAATCTTTGTGTTGCTGCATTTAGTAGTCGATAGCGATTGCATGATAAACTAACGCTTCGGAATACCTAGTCATTGCGCATTGGCGGTCGACGGGTCGAGAGCGACGCACTGTGTGCGTGTGGAGGGCGTGACGTCACGCGCGCTCCCCGCCCGCCGCCCGCCGCCCGCGCCGGCCCCGTCTAACCCATACATATCTAACTCACGACATGCTGTGTTTTCACTGACTTAATTCGTACCTAAACGTTTCGTACAATTTCAATAATAGATCTTCCTTTATATTATATACATGTTTGTAGATTTAGATAATAATAATTACAAATATTGTAACTTTTGGATTATATTATTGATTCCAATATTTTCTGGTTAGTGAATGCGTTTCGAGCAGTTAGATATGAAATTTATTGTAATATTAAAAGTCATTTATAAAACATTTATTATTGATTTATTTATATTGCACAAATTAAGTACGGATATGTTAGATATGTACGTCTAACATTTATTTGTCACAAACACTAACACGATAACTTGGTTTAATATAGTAAACATGTAGTATCTACGCATTTATATGTAGTTATGTGCACAGAGCATAAAGTAACAGAAGAAGTGTGTTCTACAGAGCTAAGCTTGGCTCCTAACACTCCTATCTCTTTCTCTATCTAAAATTTAGTCCAGCTCATTCTGGTGATATGCTGACTAAAACCAAAGCATGACTTCTACTGTTTGTTTATGCTCTGTGTTTGTATAACGGCTTATTTTCATTTATTTAATATTAACACATATGTTAGTAAAACAGTAGGTTGTAGATTAACATTCCATTTTATCGCTTAGTCATTAAACGCAGGAATGTTTAAATATTAGCTGTAATGGACCATCGCACATATAGCCGATCTAGTGGTATTCCAAATATGTACAGTCAAAGACAAGCTTCTCACAAGTAGACAACATTAGGTTATACTTATTACATGTAGAAAAAAATAGTTTACAATCAGTGTAGAAATACTTTAGTGAAACCAAAAACAATTGAAATGATACTTAGTCAAAGCAATAGATACTCGTTTCTTTAATCTTATTTACAATTCTGTTCTAAATAGTAGTGACGCAAGCATAGGGCACAAAGAGAAACTCAAAATAGAGTGAGCTACACCTTACCATTACTGCTCTAAAAATACTGAACACGAAGACAGCTGGCAATTAATCACAATACTGATTGCAATAATTAATAACATTAAGAGGTCTTCCTTTTATTATTTTACTAATTAATTTTATTATCATCTTAAACTCTTCCAAAAAGTTTAAATATGAGGCTCTTTTTATTTAACATCATAGAAGTGTTGCATACGGGTTTTATTTATAAAAATAGAGTTTAAACATCTGTTTATATGTCTATGGTGCTTTCTGGGCCGGAGTACTTATTTTCAATTTATGTTCTATGATGAGCTTTCTGTTACTGCATGGCCTTGTCAGTTGTAGGGATGCTGCAGATATAGACTTAAAGTTGTGCTTGAATAAATGTGTCTAAATCTCAGTTGTACTTTTCTTAAACAACAGTTAGGAACTTAAGCATTTAATGCGTTTATATTTTATTTTGGAACCATAAAAATGGAAGTAAAATGGGAGTATACAGTAGGTAATGCAGGAACGTCACTTAAATATTACTTCTTAGATTGTATCTACAGTTTTTAAACATACACATTTCCAGTCTAAGCGCAAATATTTTATAGCTCATTATTAGAAATAAGCTCGCGACTCGCTGATAAATTGATTGTAGCAATAATTTACTATAAATAGTGACTTTAACTTATCCGTCTTCACTTGAACGAAAATTGCAATAACATACACGTACAATGCTTTCTGTTCTAATTTTCATAGATTTAAGACCACATATTTGGATACGTTTCGTTTAAAGTGAACTCCAACGTGTCTTTACATGAATGAAGTGCTTTCTGTAGATATCTTCGTATTTATTCTATATAGTTTTAATTCACCTAAAGTATTGTAGAATATGAACGTGTCCAAATATTTGCGTAAAGTAAATTAAACTGTGCAATATTAACTTATGACTTGGCTGTATTTAACACATACTGACTTATGCACTCTCCGTACCGATTAGTTATTACGGTAGTTGCCAAATGTGTAGTTGAACTTAGAATTAATTGTACAGTTTAGATTTTCTGTTTCACTTAATTCCTTGTTTTCAAGTCTTGTTCTGTACGTACTTGTTGTGAATTATCAACCATTTTTAACACTTGTAATGGAGTGCATCGTGCCTTATAAAAGAACTGTTTCTGGCTAACTACAGATACAATAGCTTTTTCGAATGATAAATCTCTGGCATGGTGCACTAGGTACATTTTAATCTAGTTACTGTAAAAGTGCCATAAATATGATTTTGGTCCCACGTATTACTAACTTTTAAATCTACTTTTTATTACATATATTGTTGTTAAAGATTAATTAGAAATCTATTGGGATTATTTGGAATAATAATATGTTAGTTCTTTCATAACTTTTAATGTCCATGTCGTATAAATTGAATTCAGAGTATTAAAGACAATATTTGCATGTTTGAAAGTTGGCCAATCTTATGCAAACCAAATAATAAAACAATCTATAATATATTTGACTGCCTTGTTACGACTTATAGCTTATCAAAGTTCTAACATTAAAAAAAACTATTCAGGCATTTAGAAGTTAAGGTGGATTATAATAACTTGTATAACTTTCAACCATAAACCCTTTAAGTTTACGCCAACATTTTTATTTTGTTTAAATTTTTTATTAATGTTTCAAACAATCCCAATTGATTAAACGTGAATGGTAAATGGAAACAGGGAACCTCTGACTATCTCTTGACTATATTTATCGATCTGTCTACGCAAAATAATGTTATAAACCAGTAAATATTAATTATTATAGACGAGTGTGAAGTTATTATCAATGTCTAGTTATATGTATGTATATGTAACAAAGATTCCTATCAGAATCTTGTGATCATTGTGCATGTATAATATAGGCACTTGTAGGCCCTGATAGCATTGATATATTAATGAGAACTGGATATAATATTGTTTAGACACAACTTGATGAGCTTAAACTACGTAGCATTATGCAGCTCTGTGTGAATTAAATAAATCCGTATTTGTTAAGCCAACTGTAAAGTATTTATGTGAGTATATCGTAGCTACTCGGATGTCAACTGTGTGTAGTGTATATTCTGTTTAGATTGCACTCGTAGGCCATCCAATAGAAAAATAATATTTTAAGACATTTCTTTCACCACTATAGATATTAGAAAAAATAAATTAGTCATATACTGATAAAAAAAATCACTAATCTGATTTATAGTCATTTGATGAGTATAAATACTATAACACACACTTATAACTATTAATAATAAAGTTAAAAATTACAGTTAAAATTTGAATAAAAACCAAAAGAAACATCAATTTATTAATCAAATCTGATTACTTGAAGAGAAGATAACTTAAAGAATACTTGCAAATTTCAAGAGAAGCGTTTGATTTCATAAATTAGAAATTCACATTGCAGCCTAAATTATTTGATAAGAGAAACCACTCTACTAATTTCAAAAGCGAATGGCAAGAAAAAGTTGCGAAAATAGCTACCGTTGAGCTTGTCTTAATAACTCGAAACTTGAATATCACACTAGTGGGTATCTTATTCAAACTTGTCCAATATAAATACGGCAGTGGCCACATATCGTCTCTTTCTTTGGCAGTTGCGACCACATATTGGCAAAGGATCGTAGCTTCTCATCGCCCGCTTTAGCATGTCTGCGTATTTCTTACCAGCTAAACACAAAATCTGCATAACAGACCAGAAAGATCCCTGATCCAATCTGTTAACGGTAACATTAAAGGGTAATTTTTAAGAGTGGTTTTCCTTATCTAATGGGGTAGGTAATTATGGCATACCTCTTTATTCATATAATCTTTTTAACGTATTTCTTTAAAAAAAATAGTTGTCATTTCCTTAAGGTTAAAAGTTTTTACGTCTCTGATCAAAAGTCGTTATTAGAACGTAATTTTAAATAGGTTTTAATAGGATGATAATAATGGAACTTGAATTTATCTATTCGACTATCTCTCCCGACGTCCACTTTATTTTGTTTCTTAATGGAGTCCCGTTTTGACGTTGTTATTCCGGTTAATTGAGAAGAAAATTTAAGTAGCTAGTAGGTAGAATAATATCAGTGTAATGAGTAGATATACGGATGTTTAATGAAAACACGACTTGTTCTTGCCTTGTGTAATTTATATTGTCTCTAGATAAGGTGTAGGTGACGTATGTTCTCAACCACAGCAGTTTCGCACACGTATCGTTAGTTTGTTCACAAATGGCCTAAGCTTTCCGTCACTTTTGGATTCCTAAGGATTGTTCGTCAATCTTTTAATCTATTTTTCTATTCATCTTGTTATAAACTTTGTGCGGTTAAACTTACAAAATTTGGGTTCGGTGACTTGTCCCAAAAATTGCCCCAATATTTTTTATATAAAACTATTTATTGGCTATTTAAAAACGTTAATATATTTCTATCTTATCCCGCTTTAAATATTTATTTCTGTAATATTTCGCTGTGGTTTCCGTGTTTGTCTACATTGTAAAATTAATACATATTTAAAGTTCGTGTGATTTTGCCAACTAGATGTTAAGAGTTATTTCGTAGTATTTAA